ACAAAAGATATTTGAGCAATTCTAACCAACCTGTGCTGACTGGATTTTGCAAAGTTGATGCAGATATTTGTGGCTCTTTATTGCTTGACAAAAATATTAATAATCTATTAATCTTTTATAACACCACCATGAGCATCGGAACATAGGATTTTGCCTTCTACAGAGTCAGACAGACTATCGGCCCCTTTAATTTAGTCTTGTCTACACTTTGATGAGTAAATCAATGTTAACAGCAATAATATCTCGTTCTGGTTGTTTTTAGTATCCGGCACCACATCTCAACCTGCATTTCCCCTACATCTGAATATACAGAACTCTCTTTGCCAAAATTTCCTTCTCTCCTGGAAATGTATGTAGAATTAGGTTAGATTTTCTCCCGAGCAACCCTATAAGATCGCAGATCCCTGAGTGATTGGCTGGCTCGCTGGTCACCGGAACAAAACTGGATTCTTACAAGACAAGCATCTTCAGAGAGATGAGGATGTTGTACCTTGCTAGAGGTATATGTGATTGATTTTTCAGAGTCCACTGTTTTAAGAATTTGTTTTTCTAATGGGCCCTAAAGTCTCATCATTGCTTTTGCTGACCTCGGCAGAGGCTGGCCGGGAGTTTCTGGGCCCAGCTGGGCAGGCGGCGGAAGCAAAAAAGGAGGAGGAGGAGGGCGATTGGAATTGGGGGGTGTGTGTTCTGCAACATGTCCATTCGAGATACGGCCTCCGAAAATGGGGATTATACTGTACCATAAATACTAATGCATTAGTCGTAGCTTCACACTTTGCTGCCTCCAGCGCTCCCTCCATTTGCCGGCATGATAATCTATTTGAATATCAATGCGGGTTTGATGTTAAAGTGCTTCCCTTGGCGTTTCAGATAAAGGGCGGCCGCACGGTGAGGCCAGGCGCTTTGGGGGCTGACGGCGCACCGTATCTGAGGAGGGAATCGCAGAGCTTGTGATCAAAACCCTCTTCTTTCCTGAGAGCTCCCCGGAACGCATCCTTGCCCCCGGCTGCTGTTTCCGAGGGTTGTGATTAAGCCCCGCATGCTTTAAACGAAAGGCCTCTCCGAAATAGGGTTGATCGTGACTGGGAATACTGGAAACGTGAACAGTCTACCTGGGTTCTTGTTTCTTTTCTGGAAATGTTTCCATAAGAAACATACGAGATCCAACGCTGAGGGCCTTCTGGCGGTTCCTTCGCTGCAAGAAGCCAAGTTACAGGGAACCAGGCAGAGGGCCTTCTCGGTGGTGGCACCTGCCCTGTGGAATGCCCTCCCGTCAGATGTCAAAGAGAAAAACAACTACCAGACTTTTAGAAGACATCTGAAGGCAGCCCTGTTTAGGGAATCTTTTAATGTTTGACAGACTTTTGTATTATAATATTCTGTTGGAAGCCTCCCAGAGTGGCTGGGGAAGCCCAGCCAGATGGGCCGGGCATAAATAATAAATTATTATTATTATTATTGGCCTGTTAGACCAGGCCAATGGCAACAAATCTATCAGTGGAGAAGCCCCCAGCCCCTTGGTAAGGACAGTCACTGAAACATGGGTTCATGGAATCATAGAATCATGGAGTTTGAAGGGACCCGAGGGTCATCTAGTCCCACCCTCTGAAATGCAGGAATCTCAACTAAAGCATTCATGACAGATGGCCAACCAACTTCTGCTTAACAACCTCCAAGGAAGGAAAGTCCATCACCTCCCAAAGGAGTCTGTTCAGCTGTTGGACAGCTCTTACTGTCAGAAAGTTCTTCCTGATGTATTCGTTGGAATCTCCTTTCTTGCAAATGGAATCCATTGGTTCGGGTCCTACCCTCCAGAGCAGGAGAAAACAAGCTTGAAGATGGCTGTCTTATCTCCTCTCAGCCTCCTCTTTCGCAGGCTAAACATACCCTCAACTGTTTCCCATAAGTAATAATAATAATATTATTAGAATTTATTATTTATACTCTGCCCATCTGGCTGGGTTTCCCCAGCCACTCTGGGTGGCTCCCAACTGAATATTAAAAACATGATAAAATATCAAACATCCCCTATCTTCCTCCGAAAGTCCAACACCATCTCCTTTGTCTTGCCAATGTTTAGGTCAGATTGTTTTCTGAGCATCATGTGGATACCTTTTGAACCTCCCCCCTGTACGCAGATTCATCTCCGCCTCAATGTTGGAAGATTTGGGACAGATAAAAGAAAGTAGCGTATTTTTCCGTGTATAAAACGCCCCCATGTATAAGACGTCCCCTACTTTTGGGGACCCCAAATTAAGAAAATGGGGGGAGATGGCCCAGAATTGTTGAGCTTTTATTGGGGAGGATTGCCCAGGTTTGTTGAGTCTTTTTTTGCAGGGGAATGCCCCGAAAATCACTCACCCAACGCTGCCAAATGTGTGAGTCCCAGAAGAAAACAATCACACAAAATTGCCGCAGTGGCAGCCAGTTCACACAACCCTTGACGCAACCACCAATCACCCACCCAGTCGCCGCTGACAAGCTCCTGCTCACAGCTGAAACCAATCGCCCGTCCCGCATATGCACTATCCATACATAAGATGCCCCCTGATTTTTTTTGAATATTTTTATTAGGAATTTCAACATAACATTTTATCAAAATCATACCATCCTCATTTCCCCCCTATTTTTCTTTCCCCCCTCCCCAAAAGAGAAAACCACCCTCCCACCCCTCCCCCAGACTTCCTTCAGCTCCTCTCTCTGGTTTTTCAGCACATTATTGTCTGCATATTGTAAAATTGTAAAGATCCGTAATTTATCTGTCTATATGTTACCGAAAGCAGAGACATCACCTTGCCAACAAAGGTCAGTATAGTTAAAGCTATTTCCCCCCCAGTAGTGATGTATGGAAGTGAGAGTTGGACCATAAAGAAGGCTGATGGCCGAAGAATGGATGCTTTTGAATTCTGGTGCTGGAGGAGACACTTGAGAGTCCCATGGACTGCAAGAAGATCCAACCTCTCCATTCTGAAGGAAATCAGCCCTGAGTGCTCACTGGAAGGACAGATCCTGAAGCTGAGGCTCCAAGACTTTGGCCACCTCATGAGAAGAGAAGACTCCCTGGAAAAGACCCTGATGTTGGGAAAGATGGAGGGCACAAGAAGAAGGGGACGGTAGGACGAGATGGTTGGACAGTGTTCTCAAAGCTACCAGCATGTGTCTGACCAAGCTGCGGGAGGCGGTGGAAGACGGGTGCCTGGCGTGCTCTGGTCCAGGGAGTCACCAAGAGTCAGACACGACTAAACGACTAAACAACAACAACATGTTACCAATAATAAATTTGTGTATGTTTATTCAAAGCCTGCCAAGGAGTCCAGTTCGTTTTGTTGTTTCTTTAAGTACTTTGTAAAAGGTTCCCATTCTTTTTTAAAGTCACAGTTGTCCTTGTCACGCAGTTTGTGTTTCAGTTTCGCCAATTCCACATAATCCATCGGTTTCTCTTGCCACAGTTCTTTGGTCGGGATTTCTTCATTCTTCCATCCTTGTGCTATTAAGACTCTTGCTGCCGTACATTAATATGTTCTTCAACTTCCTTGGCAGGTCTTTTCCTACAATCCCTTAACAAAAATGCTTCAGGTTTTTTTTTTAACAAATGTTAATTGGAACATTTTCTTCAACTCATTGTATATCACTTCCCAAAATTTTTTGATTTTACTACAATCCCACCACATATGGTAAAAGGTCCCTTCTTTTTCCTTACATTTCCAACATATATTTGAACCCGTTTTATACAGATGCCCCCTGATTTTTAACCTTATTTTAGAGTAAAACAACCTCGCCTTATATACGAAAAAGTACGGTACTTCTTCACGCAGGCATAGTTTGACTATGGAACTCTCTCCCACAAGAAGCAGTGATGGCCTCCAAGTTGGATGGCTTCAAAATTCCTGGAGGAAAAGCCTATCAATGACTGCTAGCCAGGATGGCTGTCCTGTATCTCCCCAGTCGGAGGCAGAATTGCTTCTGAATACCAGCTGCTGGAAACCACAGGAGGGGAGAGTTTTCACGTGTTTTGGGTCCTGCTCGCGAGTTTCCCATATCGGGATCTGGTTGGCCACTGTGAGAACAGGATTCTGGACTAGATGGGCCAAGGCCTCGATCCAGCAGAGCTCTCACGTTTTTCAGAATGGAAAATTCCAAATGCCAGTGGAAATGTATTTTTCACAATGTGGACAAAGATTAAATGTAAGGTATTGGTTGTGTTTAGAATGGATTTATGAAAGATTTAGAAAACTTACTGATTAGAATATTTGTGTGAGATTGTATGGGAAAAATACGGAATAGCAGATACAATCTTGCTTAAAATATGTATATAGGAAGTGCGGTGTAAGCGACGGAAGTCAATCCATGAAATTTTATTATTGAGATATTTGTAGAATAAATTTGGAAGAAATTCTTCCAACTTTTCTTCTCCTTTATTTTTTCTTTTTCTTTTTCTTTCTTCTTTTCTTCTTTTCTTCCTTTTTTCTCTTTTGTTCTTTTTTTATATGTGTGCTTATCTGAAATATATATGTATGTATTTGCAATATTTTGCTTATATTTTGTAATAATTATGTTAAATAAATTATTAAATAAAAAAAAAACAACCAACAACAACAGGGTGCTGGACTAGATGGGCAAATCCAGCAGAGCTCTTACGTTTCTCAGAACAGAAAATTCCAAATGCCGGTGGAAATGTATTTTTCACAATGGGCCAAATTTCTGCCCGTGCATCAGACTTGAAAGAAACTTCTGTAAAGTTTTATACTGTTGGCAATATGACACCGCAAAAAAAAAAAAGGGGGGGGGGCGCAAATATATTTCCCAGTGTCAGTAACATATTGTAAATGTTGGGGAATGAAGTTGGTTTTTAACCACACATGGTGGACTTGTAAAAAAATAAGTGGTTTCTGGGAGAAGGTTACAGTTCAAAGAAACAGAATGATTGGTTCCTCTATCCCTCTGAACCCATTTGTATGTTTTGCTTAGATGCCTTAATGGTGTTATGAGAAGTGAGCATTTCAAATGGATAAGGTAGGAAGTATAAGGTAAGAACAGAAAGCATAGCTATAGGCCCTGACTGGAGGCTGTGTGCGGCTCCTGCGCTCAAGGAACAGATCTGCAAAAGAGAACATTTCATTGTTCATCTGCATGAAGGAAGGCAAAAGAAAGAAACATCAGAACAACCCTGGATGCTGTTCATTTATCATATGAAACAACAGCTTAATTACAGATATTTGCAAATATAGAACACTTGCTTGGGATAATTAAAGCCTTTGTATTTCTTCTTGAAATGAAAGGTGGCATATAAATTGTTTTATTATTATCATCATCGTTGTCATTATTAATATGCAGTGTGTGCCAATCACAAATAATTGCATCCTTTTGTATGTATCAATAATTAAGGGCAATCAGGCTGATTTGGAATAAGAGTTTGTACTGCTCCTTTGTTTTTTGTGTGTCTTGGGGTGGAATTCACTGTTGCAGTGTTACAAACGTTCCTACTGCAAACCTGTCGGTTTGCCAGCCTGCTCCTTCCACGGGCAAGCAACCCCATAAGAACAGAGACAAGCTTGCTGGAACAGCCCCATGTCCACCTAGTCCAGCATCCTATTCTCACAGTGGCCAACCACATACCTCAAATGGCAACCTGCAAGCAGGACTGGATAATAATAATAATTTATTATTTATACCCCGCCCATCTGGCTGGGTTTCCCCAGCCACTCTGGGTGGCTTCCAACAGAATATTAAAATACAACAACCTATTAAATATTAAAACCTTCCCTAAACAGGGCTGCCTTCAGATGTCTCCTAAAAGTTTGGTAGTTATTTTTCTCTTTGACATCTAGTGGGAGGCCGTTCCACAGGGCAGGTGCCACCACCGAGAAGGTCCTCTGCCTGGTTCCCTGTAACTTGGCTTCTCGCAGCGAGGGAACCGCCAGAAGGCCCTCGGCGCTGGACCTCAGCGTCCAGGTAGAACGATGGGGGTGGAGATGCTCCTTCAGGTATACTGGACCGAGGCTGTTTAGGGCATTAAAGGTCAACACCAACACTTTGAATTGTGCTCGGAAATGTACTGGGAGCCAATGTAGGTCTTTCAAGACCGGTAGTCTAGCTGCCGCATTCTGGATTAGTTGCAGTTTCCGGATCACCTTCAAAGGTAGCCCCATGTAGAATGCATTGCAGTAGTCTAAGCAGGAGATAACCAAAGCCAGCAGTGCTCTGGCTAGACAGTCTGCGGGCAGGTAGGGTCTCATCCTGCGTACCAGATGGAGCTGGTAGACCGCTGCCCTGGACACAGAATGGACCTGCACCTCCATGGACAGCTGTGAGTCCAACATGACTCCCAGGCTGCGCACCTGGTCCTTCAGGGGCACAGTTGCCCCATTCAGGACCAGGGAGCCCTCCACACCTGCCTGCCTCCTGTCCCCCAGAAACAGTACTTCTGTGCAAGAGAGCTCTCCTCCTGCTGTGTCGGCTTCAGAGAATCCTACCCCCTGCCCATAGGCTGCCAGGAACAGACAACCAGGGAGAGTTCTTACCAATGTCTTTTATTCAATATTCACAGAGAGAGGCTGAGAAATGCTGCCTCTTAGAGTAATGGCGTTGCTTTGAGTGAAACCCCACCTCCCCCTTCTCTCCCATTATATGCCATCCCTATGGTGGCTGATCTGTGCCTTCTGCCTCTAAGTTCTCTACTCTCCTACTTTCAATGCCCGCCGGGTTCTGGGAAAAGGGGGGGTCTGGAATGCTTTCTAAAGACACCGAGTCTATCAGCTGTCTCTTCACTGCTTCTGCTTCTTCCTGCTCCTCTTCCATTGTAACCCAAAGATGCATCTTAAATAAAAGCACACATTCTACTCATGTAAAAACACCAGGCAGGTCCCACAAATAACCCAGAGATGCATTTTTAAAGAAAAGGACACATTCTACTCTTGTAAAAACACCAGGCAGGCCCCAAAAATAACTCAGAGATGCATTTTAAATAAAAGGACACATTCCACTCATGAAAAAACACGCTGATTCCCAGACCGTCCACAGACCGGATTTAGAAGGTGATTGGGCCGGATCTGGCCCCCGGGCCTTAGTTTGCCTACAGCCTTTCTCAACCTGTGGGTCCCCAGATGTTGTTGAACTACAACTCCCATCACCCCTAGCTAGCAAGGCCAGAGCTCAGGGATGATGGGAGTTGTAGTCTGACAACATCTGGGGACCCACAGCTGGAGAACCGCTGGTCTAAGACCTTCTGGTTCCTTTGAAAACTAGGGTGCAGACAAGGCTGATCTGTTGGCATATGTCTGTCTCAAGAGACAGTGGAGTGCTCCTCTGGGAGTGAAGCCAAACTGCTGCCTTAGCAGCCCTGACGTGACTTCCCAGAGATGCAAGCCAGGGCAGTGTGTATGGAGGTCTTGGGCTGCTCAGATGACTAGACCCACCTCTAAGCCTTGCTGTGGTCCAAAGAAAATCAGAGCATTACGTTTGGCACCAGCTGGGCTGCAGGAGTTGCTGGACAGAGGCGTACTGTTAGAATTCCTGCTCCGTGATTACAGTCATGGGATTTTTGTCTTTCACACGACGGTGTATGTTTTGACTCCACAGAGTGGGAAGTGACGGAGACAGGATGTTCGTGTTACTGTGTTTCGTGAAGTGGGACTATTGTCCTTTTTCTCTTTGCTGTCTGATGCTAGAGAGAGAGGGAGCCATGTTGCAGTGCTCCGTGTATGTTTATATGTAAATAAAGTAGATTAGCCAAAATGCTGAGTTGCTGAGGTCTGTCACACGCCTGCTGCGCAAACTCTGCGGATCCCTAAGTGTGCCAATGTCTGTTGGCATTGGTCGCTGTGATGTTCGGGCAGAAGAAAGCTTATGAAGCTCCCGAACAATCGACCAGGAGGGAGGAACATGCCAGTTGGGCATGTGTCTCTGCCAGGGTCCTACTCGAGTGTAGGCTGAACTCCTGACACATACAAGGCTCCAGCCAACCATCTTAGGGACTCCACTCTGGATTTGTGTAGGATTTACTACTGAGCTTTCATGTTGGGAACCTACCAAATCTGTGTGTCTGGTGCCAATGAGTGAGGTGGAGCAGAGCCCTTTTCTGAAATGTCAAAATTTCGCGATGCCTTTTTCCCACCAGAGAATGTGCTCCAAAGCGCATCTATTAGTGAAAGAGCAAATGTGGAAATTTAGAAAGTTTACATGTGTTTTGATCGGTTTTTAGCTTATTGTTGATTTTGCTTGAATGTTTTAAACTGTTTTTACTGACCGTTTGATTCATTTCATAAAACACTTTGAGGGGTTTTTTTCTTTGTACTCTCAGATTGTATGGAAGGAAGGAAGGAGCATTCAAATGCCTGCGAATCTGCATGCAGACTTAAAATAATGGCAAAAGTATGGAGAAAACTGAATTTAAGGTTGGGAAAAAATGAGAAATGGAGGAAAACCAATATTGATGATTTATCTACCTGCAACCAGTGTTCCTGGGTGGTTCTTTGTTATGTACTGAGTGAATAGAATCCAGAATGCAGCAGTCTGATTGGTCCTAGAACGATAGGATTCAGAATGCGGCAGTCTGATTGGTCCTAAAACAATAGGATTCAGAATGCAGCAGTCTTATTGGTCCTAGAACAATAGGATTCAGAATGCAGCAGTCTTATTGGTCCTAGAACAATAGGATACAGAATGCAGCAGTCTGATCGGTCCACAAGAGCCACCCAATCCAGCTCCAGGTGGAAGTGAATCCGCAACCTGATTGGCCTACAGGAGAATCCCGGAAATAGCCAATCATGTGGGGCCCATTGTGTAAATAATGTATATAAAGCAGACATTCTGGGGGAACTTCCATTCCTCCTCACCACTATGAGCTGAATGAAGACCATGAAATCCACTCTCGACTCTGAGGATATTTCATTTGTTTTGTGCACAATGAAGCTTGGCTCACTTATTTGAGACACCTGGGGTCATTTTTCTTTGGCGGTTGACCTTTTCCCCCTGTGTGCCTTCACTCCGCTTTCATCGTGATGTAGTGTGGATTGCGGAGAGCCAAGCAGGGAGGCGACGGCTGGCTTCTCTGGCCGCCTCTTGGCCCCCTTCCATGCTGATCATCCTGTGCGTTGGCCCTGAGGCTAGCCGGGGGCTTCTTCCCCGAGCCTCCAGCCACTCCCCGTGGGACCATTTTTTAAAAGATGCAGGAAGAACTGCTTCCCTCCACAAGCCTCATCCATCAAGCGAGGCGCTGTAATTGCCCCCCCTCCCCCCCCCAACATGCCTGTCAGCATCCCAGAGAGAAAACAGTGATAAATAAACTTGTGTGAAAGAATCTGCCATGGTCCACCCTCTTTGACACTTGATTTATCTGTTATTTTTACACAGAGAGTCCTTCCTTGCTTTGGTAGGTAAGGCTGATGTTGTTCCCCAGATCAGGCTGTCTGAAGGGAGCCGTGAGGCCGGCAGCCACTGACAGACCCTCCCAGGAACTTTTAGAATCACAGAATTGTTGAGTTGATACCCTAAAGGGTCATCTTGCCCATCCCCGTCCCTTGTTTAATTTTCTAAGATCGGTGTTCTGGAAGGGTTCAAGTTTGCATGAACCCCACACTGAGAAAGGAAACCCATATCCGTATTTGTGAGGAGGAGCTGCCTGCATTTATGAAGGGCACTCTGCCCATGATCAAAGGTACCCTTTCTTTATTTCCACACACTAAGTCCTGGAAATCAAAACACACATGGGAGCTAAACTCTTGTTCAAATTCGAGTTCAAATTCAGTCCTCCTCAGTTCCTCCCCACTGAGTCTCCACGGTTTTGTTGTCAGGAGACCCCCTGTTCCCTGCCCAAAGCAACAATACGCAGAGTCCCCTGGGAAGAGGGATTGACTGCTAAACTATTATGAGAACTGTAGCTCTCTGAGGGGAATAGGAGTTTTGCTGTGGGTTAAACCACTGAGCCTCTTGGGCTTGCCGATCCGAAGGTCGGCGGTTCGAATCCCCGCAACGGGGTGAGCTCCCGTTGCTTGGTCCCTGCTCCTGCCAACCTAGCAGTTCAAAAGCATGCCAGTGCAAGTAGATAAATAGGTACCACTCTGGCGGGAAGGTAAACGGCGTTTCTGTGCGCTGCTCTGGTTCGCCAGAAGTGGCTTAGTCATGCTGGCCACATGACCCGGAAGCTGTACGCTGGCTCCCTCGGCCAGTAAAGTGAGATGAGCGCCGCAACCCCAGAGTCGGCCACAACTGGACCTAATGGTCAGGGGTCCCTTTACCTTTACCTAGGAATTTGTTCATTCCCCCCCCCAAAAAAATATAGTCTGGCCCATCACATGGTCTGAGGGACGGTGGACCGGCCCATGGCTGAAAATGGTTGCTGACCCCTGCCTTATGAGGAACAGTTGAGGCGATAGGATAGCCATATCCAAATATCTGGAGGGCTGCCACATGGAAGATGGAGCACTTTTCCACAGCTCCAGATGGCGGGACCCGAAACAATGGATTCAAATGGTAAGAAAGGAGGCTGAACATTCGGAATAACTTTGGGATGGGCATGTGGCTCCATCAGCAAGGTAGGCTGTCTTGGAGGGTTCAACTCTTCAGGAACCCTTGCAAAATTTCTGACCGCATCCTGGATCACGTCAGCCTCACTGTGTGGATTGCCACTGGGGAGAATATGATTGAAAGCCCCCCCCCCCCCCGAGATCTCATTCTGTCACTAATTGTGTGACACCTTGATTTACTTTTGCATTTATTTTTCATGCACCCATTTAATGCAATCTGTTTACCTAATGATGCCCACAGATGCTATTAATCTGCGCTTATTGCTAATAATCAGTCACAGATGCTCAGAACAAACTAATGATATATGGCCCCTCCAGGTGTGTTATTGGAAAACCACGAGGGAGGGCCAGGAGTAATTGATTGATCATAAACCAGCAGACAGGTGAGACAGATAAGGACATGAGAACTTAAGAATAGCCTTCTGAATCAGGCCAGTGGCCTATATAGTCCAGCATCCTGTTATCACAATGGCCAGTCAGATGCCTGGGGAAAACTAGCAAGCAGGATTCAAGCACAAGAGCCTTTTCCATTCCTGCGGCTCCAGAAAGTGGTATTCTGGAGCATTATAGAATCCGAGAATCTTAGAACTGGAAAGGACCCAAAGGTCATCTAGTCCAAAAATCACCTTGCCGACAAAAGTTCATATAGTTAAAGCTATGGTTTTCCCAGTACAGTGGTACCTTGGGTTACATATTCTTCAGATTACATATGCTTCAGGTTACAGACTCCGCTAACCCAGAAATAGTACCTCGGGTTAAGAACTTTGCTTCAGGATGAGAACAGAAATCGTGCTCCGGTGGCGTGGCAGCAGTGGGAGGCCCCATTAGCTAAAGTGGCACCTCAGTTTAAGAACAGTTTCATGTTAAGAATGGACCTCCAGAACGAACTAAGTTTTTAACCTGAGGTACCACTGTAGTGATGTATGGAAGTGAGAGCCGGACCATAAAGAAGGCTGATTGCCAAAGAACTGATGCTTTTGAATTCTGGTGCTGGAGGAGACTCTTGAGAGTCCCATGGACTGCAAGAAGTTCAAACCTCTCCATTCTGAAGGAAATCAGCCCTGAGTGCTCCCTGGAAGGACAGATCGTGAAGCTGAGGCTCCAAGACTTTGGCCACCTCATGAGAAGAGAAGACTCCCCGGAAAAGACCCTGATGCTTGGGAAAGATGGAGAACACAAGGAGAAGGGGACGACGGAGGACGAGATGGTGGGACAGTGTTCTCGAAGCTACCAGCATGAGTTTGACCAAACTGCAGGAGGCAGTGGAAGACAGGAGTGCCTGGCGTGCTCTGGTCCATGGGGTCACGAAGAGTCAGACACGACTAAATGACTAAACAACAACATGGGGTAGATCCACATGGATATACCTTTGTAACTAAGTCTGCCTTCAGGGATCCATCTGTGAACTTATGATGATGTGAGTGAACTACTTTTATATATCTTAAATAAGATTGTGGCATGTTTATTCTTTTAAGAGGGATTAATAACCTATACCTGAAGGAGCGTCTCCACCCCCATTGTTCTGCCCGGACACTGAGGTCCAGCTCCGAGGGCCTTCTGGCGGTTCCCTCACTGTGAGAAGCAAAGCTACAGGGAACCAGGCAGAGGGCCTTCTCAGTGGTGGCACCCACCCTGTGGAACGCCCTCCCACCAGATGTCAAAGTAATGGGGTCATGAAGAGTCGGACATGACTAAATGACTAAACAACAACAACAATCATATCCCCTCTCAGTCTCCTCTTTTCCAGGCTCAATGGGAAAGAGTTGATTGAGCTCAACTCTTCCGCCGCCTTGTTTTGTGAAGAGTAATGGATGATTATTATTTTTTAAGAATCTGATGGCTTTCCCCTCCAAATCCTGCCAACACTCATTGCAAAGCTCCTTCCCCTTCTGCATTCTGCTTCTGAATCGTTCCCCATGTGATAGGGCAGGGCAAGAAGTGACGTAACAAATCAGAACAACAGCTCTCTCCAAAGCCTGTCTTGTCCCATGCAACAACTAGTCCCCCTAGTCCACTGACGGCGCACCACTGTGCACTCAGCAGGGTGGTCAGGAAGAGGGCCCAGCTGCCTGCAGAAGCACCCCATGCAGTCACCCAACCAGCCCCCCCTTGTGCCACCTGCTTCCCACGGACGACCCCCCCCTCCATCTCCTCTGCCCTCTCAGCCCCTGTGTCCCTCTGATCAGCCGATGGCAAGCTGGTGGCAGTGGCAGCGGCGAAGGCAGTGGCTGTGCCAGCCGCAGAAAAAGATCTAATTTAGATGAATAACCAAGTTCCTGAGAGGCGGCCGCGTCTCTGACCTCAATAATCAGCGTGCCATTAGTTGCGTGCTGCCGAGGGGGGAGGCCGGAGAGCAGTCCCAGCTTGCGGGGGAAGTTGCTTCGCCAGCATGATGTTATACACAGGAGAAGCGCCGGTATATAATTTAATGGCCACTGTGGGGGAAGCAGAGGTAAGGGGTTCTCTCTCTCTTTCCTTTAAAGGAGCATTATCTGAAAGGAGCGCACACTCCCTGAAATGCTCGCGTAATGACACGAGGGCTAAAGCCAGGCATTAAAAATTCATGCCCAGGAATATTAAAACTTTTTACTTTGTCCTGTCGCAGCACCAAGCAAATGTAAACAAATGAAGCCTTCAGGAAGGGAAAGACCTGCATTGCGGAATCGGTCACCGTGGCCGGGAAGGTGGCCGCGGCCGGCCTTGCAAGTTTTGCTTGGGTGTTAAAAAAATGGGGGAAAAAAGTTAAGGTCTATTGGAGCCACTCCCCAAGAAGAAAAGCTAAAGCATTTGGGATTTTTCCATTTCGGGAAAAGGTGTGTAACAGGAGACACGATAGACGTTCTCCCGGTAAAGGTAAAGGTAAAGGTAAAGGTAAAGGTAAAGGACCCCTGACAGTTAAGTCCAGTCACAAACGACTCTGGGGTTGCGGCGCTCATCTCGCTTTACTGGCCGAGGGAGCTGTCATTTGTCCGCAGACAGTTTTTCTGGGTCATGTGGCCAGCAGGACTAAGCCGCTTCTGGTGAAACCAGAGCAGCGCACGGAAACACCGTTTACCTTCCCACCGGAGCAGTACCTATTTATCTACTTGCACTTTGATGTGCTTTCGAACTGCTAGGTTGGCAGGAGCAGGGACCGAGCAACGGGAGCTCACCCCGTCGTGGGGATTCGAACCGCCAACCTTCTGATCGGCAAGCCCTAGGCTCTGTGGTTTAGACCACAGTGGTACATGACCCAAACTCGGCCATCTTTTGAAAGCTGCTCTTGTCTGAATTTTGGAATCTCCAAGTCAACACACATATGAAAAGATTCTAAGAGCTTTTTCATGTAGCCCTCATTTTCCAGTTCTAGAACAAGTTTTTCCTGCCACAATGGAGAGGGATGCCAGAAGTTCTTCAATTTCCTCTCACTGATTTAATTCACAAGGTGGCAACTCTAGACCTGGGCATGACAAAATCATCAAAGCCTTGCTCTTCAGATTCATCCACCAGATCCTGAGTGAGATCTACTGAAGGGTCTTCAAGGGAAAGAAGAGCTGTTTCCCCTCTATTTCATTTCATCTGGTTTTTTTTCTTGAAGGCTAAGTGCCAGTTGAAGATTCTCTGCTTCAGACTGCACCATCAGTGTGTCCTGTTGCTTCTGGTAAGCAGCATTAGGATTAATTTTGTGCTGCAGAAGAAGAACATCTTTAAATCCAAGATAAATTCAATATCTGAATTTCCACTACCAGAGAAAGTTCTGACATGCCACTTACTTTCTTATCTGGAAGCAGGAGCCGAATGTTCCAACTCGGCTCTTACAGGTTTAAAATCTGAATCTTGCAATGCTGTTCCGCAGCCAAGTAACGTGTAGAAAGGTGCATAAACTTGGGTAAAGTGTGCATTGAATTACCGTATTTTTTGCTCTATAAGACTCACTTTTCTCCTCCTAAAAAGTAAGGGGAAATGTGTGTGCGTCTTATGGAGCGAATGCAGGCTGCGCAGCTATCCCAGAAGCTAGAACAGCAAGAGGGATCCCTCTTGCTCTTCTGGCTTCTGAGATTCAGAATATTTTTTTTCTTGTTTTCCTCCTCCAAAAACTAGGTGCGTCTTGTGGGCTGGTGCGTCTTATAGAGCGAAAAATACGGTATGTAACTTAGTGGAATCAATGTACAAAACACATTGTATTAAGGAAATTGCTCGTCAAAAAGGAAGGGCATATTCGGGGCCTACAAAAATGTGTATGTTATGAGAATATTTGCACTAAGATTCTGACAAATTTTCATGAGAACATCATGTTTTTTAAAAATTGCAAAGGGGTGTGAAAATGTGGGTAACTGAACTGAAGGCCAGGAAAAAGGAGAGAAAGAAATGGAAGTTGATGGATTTGCCAATTCCTAGCGATGACTTCCCTATTCCACCCTTGTGGCAGAAAGCAAGAAGAGGTCCCACCACTGTAAGTTCCCAGGCTCAATGCTGTTTGGTTTGTTAATGTTATTTTTAAATTATTTTTTTTTAATGTTGCTTGGTTGGTGAAAGTGGGATCATCAGAAGGGCTCCTGCTAAGCACTCAAAGGCTGAGAGCTGCCGGGTTCAAAGCCTTCATGGATGGCATCTTTCCTTTGCTTCCTCTGTGAGCAGCACTTTGATGTCACAAGAGAGGAACAGGCTATGAACTGAGGGACAGCTTGATCCTTATCAAGTCTATTTGAGGTCCAGCTCCGAGGGCCTTCTGGTGGTTCCCCCTCTGCGAGAAGTGAGGTTGCAGGGAACCAGGCACAGGGCCTTCTCGGTGGTGGCGCCTGACCTGTGTAACGCCCTCCCGCCAGATGTCAAGGGAATAAACAACTATCTGACTTTTAGAAGACATCTGAAGGCAGCCCTGTTTAGGGAAGCTTTTAATGTTTGAGGCATTACTGTATTTTACTATTGTGTTGGAAGCCGCCCAGAGTGGCTGGGGAAGCCCAGCCAGATGGGTGGGGTATTAATAATAATCATAATAAGACAAAAGTCACAAAGATGGAAAAATAATTTTTTCCCCAGGGGGCTGACAACCTCAGTCGTGCCATCTTCCTCAATCACCAACTTGACAAGCTAAGTAAAGGGGAGGAGGACTCGTTTGGACTTCCTAAGGCATGGGTGGGCAAACTAAGGCCCGGGGGCCAGATCCGGCTCAATTGCCTTCTCAATCCGGTCCATGGATGGTCCGGGAATCAGCGTGTTTTTACATGAGTAGAATGTGTCCTTTTATTCAAAATACATCTCTGGGTTATTTGTGGGGCATAGGAATTCGTTCGTTTCCCCCCCTTCAAAATATACTGTATAAGACTCTATATACTCTATAAGACGTACTTTACCCCTCCTAAACAGTATGTGTGTGCATCTTATGGAGCGAATGCAGGCTAAAGCCTGAAGCCAGAAGAGCAAGAGGGATCGGTGTGCAGCCTCTTGAGCGCAGCGGGAGAGCTCCTGCCTCTTCGCTCAAGAGGCTTTGCGTTGCTTTCTTGTTTCTTGTTTTCCTCCTCTAAGAACTAGGTGCGTCTTATGGTCGGGTGCGTCTTATAGAGCGAAAAATACGGTAGTCTGGCCCACCACAAGGTCTGGGGGACAGTGGACCGGCCCCCTGCTGAAAAAGTTTGCTGACCCCTGAACTAAGGAGATGTGAATTTAGATACCTGAAGGCCTGTACTTTAAGGAATGTGGTTCTTTGCACAGCAAATAGTTAAACTATGGAACTCACTCCCACAGGAAGCAGTGAGGACCTTGATGGCTTTAGAAGAGAATTAGGCAAATGCATGGAGGAGAAGAGAGCTATCGATGGCTACTGGCTCCAATGGCTGTGCTTGGCTCGCATGCTCCCAAATATCTGTTGCTGGAAACCACAGGAGGGGAGAGGACTATGGCGCTCAACTCCTGCTTGCAGGTTTCCCAGAAAGAGGCATTTGCTTGGACCCTGTGAAAACAGGGTGCTGGACTAGATGGGCTGTTGGCCTGATCCTGCAGGTTCTTCTATGTTCTTATCTAATTTTCAGTCTGTCTCTAAGGCATCACCCTTTATATAGCAGCCACCTCTTAGACAACAGAACCATCCCATAGCTGTCAACGTTTTCCCCTTTTAAAAGGGAAATTCCCTTATTCTGAATAGGATTCCTCGCAAGAAAAGGGAAAAGTTGACAGCTATGCCCAGGGGGTGCTACATTCCTGCATTCCTGGACCACCTTGCACAATGGCTGAGGCCAGGATGATAATAATAATAATAATAATAGTAATAATAATAATAATTTATTATTTATACCCCGCCCATCTGGCTGGGCTTCCCCAACCACTCTGGGTGGCTTCCAACCAAATATTAAAATACAATAATACATCAAACATTAAAAGCTTCCCTAAACAGGGCTGCCTTCAGATGTCTTCTAAAAGTCTGGTAGTTTTTCTCTTTGACATCTGGTGGGAGGGAGTTCCACAGGGCGGGTGCCACCACCGAGAAGGCCCTCTGCCTGGTTCCCTGTAACTTGGCTTCTCGCAGCGAGGGAACCTCCAGAAGGCCCTCGGCACTGGACCTCAGAGTCCGGGCAGAACGATGGGGGTGGAGACGCTCCTTCAGGTATACTGGGCTGAGGCCGTTTAGGGCTTTAAAGTTCAGCACCAACACTTTGAATTGTGCTCGGAAATGTACTGGGAGCCAATGTAGGTCTTTCAAGACTGGTGTTATGTGGTCTCGGCGGCTGCTCCCAGTCACCAGTCTAGCTGCCGCACTACTCGCTCAAACATGCAACAAGGCAGGGGAAAGTAGGAATGGAAGTATATCGTTTGGGATCGCCTGGGCTGAGAGTCAGGCCGGTCCCTGTGGAGCGGGCAGACGTTATCTCCACTCGCATTGGCAAAGCGGTGCAGTTTGTAGGCTCGGAGACGTCAATCACTCATCTGAGATTGCTGGCCCGACAATTCCAAAAAGTGGACTTGGGGAAAACATATATATATATATTTATATAAGTATATATATATCTACATAACCAACAACATTAAGAGCTTTAATAATTGAAGGGGCTCTTAACTATGGCCAGCAATTTAAGTTATTGGATTGTTTAAATTACTGAGCTGTTTAAAATATATGTTGAAATAAGTTCAAAAATGAGTGATGGTTCCGGGTTCAGGATACTTGAGTTGCTTCTTTCCAACAGACAAGGGAGGGGGGGAGCAGGGAGAGACTGTGAGGATCTGCCTTGGTGGGAATTTGAATGCAGGCCCTTGTTGGGGAGGGCAGGTTGCTGCTCATCCCTCCCCAAGAAAACTAGGGCCAATTGCTCACCCAAAAGCCTTTTTCAAAGCTCCAGACTTCATGTGGCATCTGTGACATCTGGATGCAGGTATATTTCATCTGACCTTTCTTATTTTGGGAAGTGGGTTTGTGTGTGTGAACAATAATAATTATAATTATAATAATAATTGATTATTTATACCCCTCCCATCTGACTGGGTCTCCCCAGCCACTCTGAGCGGCTTCCAACCACATATCTAAAACAATACAGTCAGACATTAAAAACTTACCTAAACAGGGCTGCCTTAAGGTGTCTTTTAAAAGTAAAATAGTTGTTTATGGCCTTAATATCTGCTGGGAGGGCGTTCCACAGGGCGGGAGCCACTACCGAGAAGGCCCTCTGCCTGGTTCCCTGTAAGCTCACTTCTTACAGCGAGGGAACCGCCAGAAGGCCCTCGGAGCTGGACCCCTGTGTCTGGGCTGAGCGATGGGGGTTTGAGATGCTCCTTCAGGTATCCAGGACCGAGGCCATTTATTTCCTTGACATCTGATGGGAGGGAGTTCCACAGGGCGGGCACCACCACCGAGAAGGCCCTCTGCCTGGTTCCCTGTAACTTGGCTTCTCACAGTGAGGGAACCGCCAGAAGGCCCTCAGAGCTGGACCTCAGTGTCTGGGCTGAACGATGGGGGTGGAGACGCTCCTTTAGGTATACAGGACCGAGGCCGTTTAGGGCTTTCAAGGTCAGCACCAACACTTTTAATTGTGCTCTGAAACGTACCGGGAGCCATTGCAGATCTCTCAGGACCGGTGTTATATGGTCCCAGCAACCGCTCCCAGTCACCAGGCTAGCTGCCAAATTCTGAATTGATTGCAGTTTCCAAGTCACCTTCAAAGGTAGCCCCACGTAGAGCGTATGTTACGGGTGCTGAGAATTTGGAGGAGACCCCATAGTCCCCTCAGAGAGCTACAATTCCCAGCGTTCTTCTGGATGAGGGAATGACTGTTAAACCACACAGAACTGTAGCTCTGTTGAGGGGAACAGGGGTCTCCCTATGACTTTTAGCTTCCTTAGCAAACAATGGATCCCAGCGTTCTTGGGGGGAATTGAAATGGTGTGATACTGCATTGAAAATATAGAGCCAGGTGGGGTCTTAGAGCAATGGTTCGAAGGTGGACCGTGGATATCAGTCGCTGAAACTCACCTCTGAGTTTCCTGAATGGGAGACTCCCCCAATGTCTGTGATTGGTATAGTAACACAGAACATTTCTGGTAGCAAATAAATGTAAAAAAAAGTTAGCAGGGGTAAGTAACAGCCTAAAGGTAAGCCAGAAGTACTTTTCTTCCCACTTGAGACCAAACTGACATCACTGCAACCATCCTTTCCATCACGGAAAACAGATTAAATTAAATTATAACTGGACTCCGTTGCTTTCCCCCCAAACCCGACAATTTCATTACTCACCATAATCAGATACTCTTCCTCATTCCTCAGGCATGACTGACAAGCGACTCCATATTTCACCATAAAAATTGCAGGCAAAACCCATGTCACTGGGAATTAATTTTTGTAAGACAATGTTTATATTAACCATTCCTTTATTGACTTCTGTTGCCGAAGTCAATACCAAAAATTTATGGTCCCTCGAGGGACGCTCATTGACCTCGGTTGCATCGCATGTCAATATTCCTGCTTTGGGTCAATAAATTTAGACACTGACCTCAGCAGAAGTCAATAGGATCTGCATATTCCGAGACAGTGGGAGGTTAGGAACTGTTTTGTTTGGAGAGGGAGCGGGAGATCAAGGAGGGCCAGCGGTGGTTGGACTAAAGGCTTGAGCCCAAGAGGCCTCTGGGTAGCTCAAAACCACCTTCCCCAAAGAGCTTCTGGGAGTTGTAATCCGGAAACTGTGGGAGATTAGCAGCCAAACCTAGCAAATGCATATTCTTCCTAGTTAGCATGAGAAGGGGCTAAGTCCACAGAGCTGCATTGCTGATGGGCAGATGCTCAGATCATAGAAATGCAATTGGTAGAGAGGGCTCTGTGTGATATCATTTCCCTTCCAAGAGGAGTATATAGTACTTCCTGTTCCTCTTTCTCTCCTTTTGACCAGCACTGGATGCAGACATGCCTCTGCTTAGATTGCAAATATAAGTTACAGGGAACCAGGCAGAGGGCCTTCTCGGTAGTGGCGCCCGCCCTGTGGAACGCCCTCCCACCAGATGTCAAAGAGAAGAACAACCACCAGACTTTTAGAAGACATCTGAAGGCAGCCCTGTTTAGGGAAGCTTTTAATGTTTGATGCATTACTGTATTTTAATACTTTGTTGGAAGCCGCCCAGAGTGGCTGGGGAAACCCAGCCAGATGGGCGGGGTCTAAATAATAAATTATTATTATTATTATTATTATTATTATTATTATTATTATTTATTGCAAATATAAGCATTTTGTGTGCATAGTTTTTATTGCTACTGTTGCTTTGACCTGATGCATGATTATACTGTAAGTAAATCTTATTTTTAAACTTACTTTACAAGCTGTTGCCTGGTTCTCTGTTAAGCGGAGGAACGTTAGCTGGATTTGCTCAGAAGGAGCCTTTGCAGTCTGATTCCTAAGCTTTGAATTTTGCTGCCAAGGATGGACTTTTGAAACTCTGTTCAACCTACACATGTGGGAGCCTGGAGGGATGAATTGCAATTAATATAGCCTCTCTTGCCCATTAAAACCCATCCCACAGGAACATCCCCAGGTTGGGGAAAGGAAGGTTTCAATAAATATGTGAAATTCTTTCTCTCTCTCCAATGCAGCTGCCTCTTTGCCTTCTTGCACCACCGTGAATCGACACTCCTGATATTTTCCCCCAAAGGCCTTCTGAGTCAGAGATGGGCAACCTCAGTTCTGGGGTTCAAACGTGGCATTTCACAACTGTCTGATCTTTGGGGCTCTCCCTGGACCACACCTCTCTCTTTGCATTCTCCTTGTGGAGTGCTTTCATTTGACCTTGAACTCTGATCGTGCCTCTTGCTTCCCTGGATGGAGAAGGGAGAAGGATGAGCAAGGGTGCAGAGAAGTTGCCACCTGTTCAAATAATAATAATAATAATAATAATAATAATAATAGTAATAATTTATTATTTATACCCCACCCATCTGGTTGGGTTTCCCCAGCCACTCTGGGCGGCTTCCAACAGAGTATTAAAATACAATAGTCTATTAAACGTTAAAAGCTTCCCTAAACAGGGCTGCCTTCAGATGTCATCTAAAAGTCTGGTAGTTGCTTTTCTCTTTGACATCTGGTGGGAGGGCATTCCACAAGGCGGGTGCCACTACCAAGAAGGCCCTCTGCCTGGTTCCCTGTAACTTGGCTTCTCGCAGCGAGGGAACCGCCAGAAGGCCCTCGGAGCTGGACCTCAGTGTCCGGGCTGAACGATGGGGGTGGAGACTCTTCTTCAGATTTACTGGACCAAGGCTGTTTAGGGCTTTAAAGATAAGAATGCACACTTGATGCCCTCCCCATCTTTCGATTCTTAAAAAAAACACACACCCAATTTTTGCGTCAGAAGTGGTTGCTTTGTTTTAAATTGCTGGCATTCTTTCCTCCTTCATTTTCTTCTGCACTGCAATTCTCACGATTCTGTGGTACATCATGACTCTCTAGCTTCTGCTTCAACCCAGGGATCTCTCATGCTCTCACAGGAGTCCCCAAGGTGATCGCCTCTGGGGACTGAACACATTTTGCACACTGGGTAATTCAGGTTTGCACGATGAATGTGGATCAACAACCCCAAAACTGTCATTCTAGCGCAGCAAGAGAAATGAACTGTTTGTGGTTAGGAAAGTGATGGGGAAATGCGTTGAGATATGAATGCAGAATAGGAAGATGAATCAACAGCTCACAAAGAAACCAGGATGAGTGCAAGGCGAATGCTCCCTATTGTACAACCTCCCAGGAAGCAAAACAGAACGAATGATCAGTAAAGATCAAAGTCTCACTTAAGAAGGTCCCTGCTGTCTCATCTAATGTCCTTCCCTGCCAGGATTCCAGAATATCAAGTGTTAATCCTGCACTCCCCATGTGAATGGGCTGCCAGTGCCCTGCGTGGATCTCCTCCCTCTGTCATTTTACTGGTGGAGTGTGGCTATAGCCATATCACTGTCAGCATCGCCCTTGAGCCAGTGCCACCGACTGGACTCATCCACTTCAGCCCCATCTGGGCCAGGCGAGCTGGGGTAGCACTTCCAGAGACCACCTTCTGCACAGGAACAGGTCAAAGTGCTGTGGACTCACAACTCAGAGTTGTGAGCACCAGATTCACCCCAAAGACGTTGCACAGCAGAGTACAGCAGAGCATAAACCACTCGGAGAACAGCTCTGTAGAATAACTATTTTTATTCTATCTACAACTATCATACAAACTATATACAGAGCTAAATGGAGAAGCTGAACTGCACTGAGTGTCTGCAGCTGCTCTTAGCAGCAACCTTATCTATACAGAGATAACACACTCTCTCTCTAACACTCAGTCTCTCTCTTTGATGTGAGGCTGGAGCGGAATAAGTAGTGAGCAGAAACCGCCCCCCTCCTCTCTGGAGAATCAGCAGAGAACATCAGCAGATTCTTGGAATGGGAGGGGTGAAATCTCCTCAATCACCTCTCTCAGTCTGAACGCATCCGGTCTTTGGTGTGGATGGGGAAAAACCAGCAACTTGCAGCCAGAGGGTTGATTTGCAATCTGTGGTCCATTACAGTTTCATTCAAAAAACAGATCAGGACAGGCAGCAGCTACAGTTATGAATACGGACGCAAAGAGGAATTGTTTCCTATTCCTGTACTAATCTCACGCAGCACCATTTCCGTTCTGCTGCCGTTCATTTTCCTCCAACGGCTACATTATTTGTCTATCTGTCCATTGTGGTGGGAATCATGTAAATTACAGCCATAGCTGTCAACTTTCAGATTTGAAAGTAAGGGATCAGCAGCCTCACCTGTCCCGGGGACAGTCTATGGGATATCTAACAATCCGGGATAGCAGCGGGAAGCAACGGGAAACGGCGCTGGAATAAGGGAATTTCCTGCAAAAAAAAGGGAAGGTTGACAGCTATGATTACAGCGTCATCACATTATTCCCGCTGCAGAACACAGTAGCCCTCTTACCTCCCGTGGGTTCCAGCGACTGGTATTCAGAGGTGTTGCTGGCTTCCTGACCAGCCTCTCCTCTTGAGCAGGCTTCCACACGCAGACTCTGGATCAGGCACCCCCAAACTCGGCCCTCCAGATGTTTAGGGACTACAATTCCCATCATCCCTGACCACTGGTCCTGTTAGCTAGGGATGATGGGTCTTGTAGTCGCAAAAAAACTGGAGGGCCGAGTCTGGGGATGCCTGCTCCGGATGGTTGCTATGTACTGAGTTGAATAGGATTCAGAATGCAGCAGTCTGATTGGTCCTAGAACAATAGGATTCAGAATGCAGCAGTCTGATTGGTCCTAGAACAATAGGATTCAGAATGCAGCAGTCTGATTGGTCCTAGAACAATAGGGTCCAGAATGCAGCAGTCTGATTGGTCCTAGAACAATAGGATTCAGAATGCAGCAGTCTGATTGGTCCTAGAACAATAGGATTCAGAATGCAGCAGTCTGATTGGTCCTAGAACAATAGGATTCAGAATGCAGCAGTCTGATTGGTCTTAGAACAATAGGACCCAGAATGCAGCAGTCTGATTGGTCCACAGGAGCCACCCAATCCAGCTCCAGGTGGAAGTGAATCCGCAACCTGATTGGCCTACAGGAGAATCCCGGAATTTGCCAATCACATGGGGCCCATTGTGTAAATAATGTATATAAAGCAGACATTCTGGGGAAACTTCCATTCCTCCTCACCACTATGAGCTGAATAAAGAGCATGAAATCCACTCTTGACTCCGAGTAGATTTCAATGGTGAAAGAGGGAGAGCCATGTGCTACTGTGCTCTCCAGCTCGGTCGCGTCAGAAGCACGACTGCCTGGGCAGATCTATAGCGAGAGGAGATTAGCTCCTTGGCAGGGGTGGGGAAGCCCATCCATCTCTCTCGCATTGAGCCTTCTGAAGGCAGCCATTCATCAGGAAGAGAGATGCTGTCTCGAGGGGACATCTCTCGCCAAGCTGTGATTTGGCTCCCATCTTCTTCCTCTCTTCTGGTCCAAGGCAGCCTTCGAGGTGGGGATGCTGTAGGCCAGGATCGGGTGGAGTTGGAAAAGCTTCCCAAAAAAACCCCCAAAATGATTGAGGGGGTGAAGCGACTCCCCTAGGGAAAAAGGTGACAGCATTAATTTTAGAGGAAAGGAGCGTAAGATAATGAAAAGTTGTTTCCCCCTCTGTCATAACCCTAGGATAGCCAGAAAAGATGAACGCTGGAAGATTCAGGGCAGAGAAAAGAAAGGACTTCTTTTGCAAAGCGCAGAATTGGACTGTGGAACTCACTCCCACAGGAGACTGTGATTTCCAACATATTGGATGATTTTAAATGAGAATTGGACAAGTTCATGGCCACTGGTCCCATCACCTCCTGGCAAACAGAAGGGGAAGAATTGGAAGCAGTGACAGATTTTACTTTCTTGGGCTCCATGATCACTGCAGATGGTGACAGCAGTCACGAAATTAAAAGACGCCTGCTTCTTGGGAGAAAACCGATGATAAACCTAGACAGCATCTCAAAAAGCAGAGACATCACCTTGCCGACAAAGGTCCATATAGTTAAAGCTATGGTTTTCCCAGTACAGTGGTACCTCGGGTTACAGACGCTTCAGGTTACAGACGCTTCAGGTTACAGACTCCGCTAACCCAGAAATAGTACCTCGGGTTAAGAATTTTGCTTCCGGAGGAGAACAGAAATAGCGTTCTGTGGCAGGCCCCATTAGCTAAAGTGGTACCTCATGTTAAGAACAGTTTCAGGTTAAGAACGGAGCTCCAGAACGAATTAAGTTCTTAACCCGAGGTACCACTGTAGTGATGTATGGAAGTGAGAGCTGGACCATAAAGAAGGCTGATCACCGAAGAATGGATGCTTTTGAATTCTGGTGCTGGAGGAGACTCTTGAGAGTCCCATGGACTGCAAGAAGATCAAACCTCTCCATTCTGAAGGAAATCAGCCCTGAGTGCTCACTGGAAGGACAGATCCTGAAGCTGAGGCTCCAAGACTTTGGCCACCTCATGAGAAGAGAAGACTCCCTGGAAAAGAACCTGATGTTGGGAAAGATGGAGGGCACAAGGAGAAGGGGACGACGGAGGACGAGATGGTGGGACAGTGTTCTCGAAGTGACCAACATGAGTTTGCCCAAACTGTGGGAGGCGGTGGAAGACAGGAGTGCCTGGCGTGTTCTGGTCCATGGGGTCATGAAGAGCCGGACACGACTAAAGGACTAAACAGCAACAAAGACATTTTGGTTTAGAAAAGCCTGCTCAGGTATCTAAAATGCTGTTGCATTCATTCATTCATTCATTTTGTTTACTGCTAGTTTTAATTTAGAACAGGATGCTTGAGTAGATGGACCATTGTGAGAGCCAGTGCGGTGTAGTGTTTAAGAACGGTAGTCTCGTAATCTGGTGAACCGGGTTCGCTTCCCCACTCCTCCACATGCAGCTGCTGGGTGACCTTGGGCCAGTCCCACTTCTCTGAAGTCTCTCAGCCCCACTCACCTCACAGAGTGTTTGTTGTGGGGGAGGAAGGGAAAGGAGAATGTTAGCCGCTTTGAGACTCCTTAAAGGGAGTGAAAGGCGGGATATCAAATCCAAACTCTTCTTCTTCTTCTTCATTGGCCTTTTCCAGCAGGCCCTTCTTCTGCATGTATGTCTGAATCCTGACATGCATATTTAATTTTTTATTTAAATATGGCAGGCAGCCCTGTTCAGGGAAGTTTTTAATCTGTGATATTTTAGTGTATTTTTGGTTTCTATGGAAGCCGCCTAGAGTGGCTGGGGAAACCCAGCCAGATGGGCGGGGTACAAATAATAAATTACTATTATTATTATTATTATTATTATTATTATTTGCAGGGCTGGCTCCAAAATGTTAGGAATGGGAAGGCAAGGTGTCCTCAGTGCTCCCCCGATCTTAAAGAGGCAGGGCAGGCCAGCTGAGAATTTGGCCCTGCACCCCACCTTCCCTGATTTGAGGGGGGGGGAGGGGAAGCTGCAGAAAATATGAAATCTGATCAATGGCCAATGGCCCATCTATTCCATCATCCTGTTTTCACAGTGGCTGACTGGATCCCGGAGCTCTCCACTGTGGAGGGCGCAGAGCACAGCCATCATGGCTAGTTGCCATCAATGGTCCTCTCCAGCATAATTTTTCTAATCCTGCATGCATCTGCAGTTCCCCACAGCCCCAGAAAGCAAATCTGCAAATTCCCATGATGTAAATGTTCCTTGCAAGCCACGTTTCGTCTCACTTCCAAAATAAAACAAAATGCATTCATTATTGTACCCGGCAGCAAAGGGTTTATCCACACTTAACTTTCCAAGCAAAGGTCTGCACTTAAAAACTCCGTGTCTGAGCAGTTTTGTCTTTCCCCTCTCTTTAGCTCTCAATCAAAGCAAACGTCAGTTTCCCATAGATTGCCGTTTGCTCCAGTTGAACTTTAAAGAGTGTTTTTTTTCAAGGAATGCACCAAAGAAGGAGGGTGGGGGAAAGGTCTTTTGGAAAAAAAGCTTTAATGCACGAACCACGCCTGGAAAGACCAGGACAAAGGTAAGTTTGGATAAGCCCCAAATTGTGAGATCTAGGAGCTAATGCGTGCAAGCTGCATTTTACTTAAAGGTAAAGGTAAAGGGACCCCTGACCATTAGGTCCAGTCATGGCCGACTCTGGGGTTGTGGCGCTCATCTCACTTTATTGGCCGAGGGAGCCGGAGTACAGCTTCTGGGTCATGTGGCCAGCAGGACTAAGCCGCTTCTGGCGAACCAGAGCAGTGCACGGAAACACCGTTTACCTTCCCGCCGGAGCAGTACCTATTTATCTACTTGCACTTGATGTGCTTTCGAACAGCTAGGTTGGCAGGAGCAGGGACCAAGCAATGGGAGCTCACTCCGTCGCGGGGATTCGAACCGCTGACCTTCTGATCGGCAAGTCCTAGGCTCTGTGGTTTAACCCACAGCGCCACCCACGTCCCATTTTACTTAAACAAATTTTACAAATTCAGTGCAGAGAAACTGCAAGGCAGCGAGAAACCAGGCCGAGCCAGGAGAAGAGAGAAGGGTCTGAAGGAGGGAAAGTAATGACCGAAGCGGCCCTGAATTGCCCCCCGAGGGAATGGATGAACGAGAGCTCCCCCCCCTGCTTCTGCCCACCCTTTGCTGATCTCTTCTGCTCTCTTCCCAGCGGCCGCTAGGAGGCGTTGTGACACCGGCCCTGGCTGGAGGGAGCTTCGCCCGCCTGCCAAGAAAGTCAATGGGATCATTTGTCCGAGCTCTCCCCAGTCGATGGTCCTGACACTCCGCAGTCATCGCTCTGATTAAGATGCCACACTTGAGTTAGAGCATCCATTAAGATTTGATGAGTAATTGATCAGAGCATCAACAGGGAGGGACGCAGCCGGTGGGAGGGGGGCTCCACAGAGGGGCGGGTGGGGTGGGGGGACGGCGACCCACGGCTGGCGCTCTCTCTCTCGCCGCCCTCCCTCTCCCACGAAATGAACCTTATTAGCCGAGTGGAATCTCTCAGGCCGGAGCTTTATAGGTGCAAAAGGAGAGGGGGAGAAGAGAGGATGCTCGTGAGATAGAAAAGAGCTGAGTTGGAAAGATGCCATGCTTGGGATCTGTCTTCCGCCAGCCAATTTTAGGACAGGATTTTTCTTCTTTGGCGGGGGAAGTCATGCCTTTTAAAAGCATGGCAGGCACAGACCTGTCCTGGTATTCAGAAGCATGGCACGCAGAGACCCTACCTGCCCATAGCTGTCAACCTTCCCTTTTTTTGTGGGAAACTACCTTATTCCAGCACCGTTTCCCGCTGCTATCCTGGATTGTTAGAGATCCTGTAGACTGTCCCCGGGACAGGTGAGGCTGCTGATCCCTTATTTTTGAGGCTGCTGATCCCTTATTTTCAAATCTGAAAGTTGACAGCTATGTACCTGCCCGCGGACTGTCTTGCCAGAGTAGTGCATGCTCTGGTTATCTCCCGCTTGGACTACTGCAATGAGCTCTACGTGGGGCTACCTTTGATGGTGACTCGGAAACTGCAACTAATCCAGAATGCGGCAGCTAGACTGGTGACTGGGAGTGGCTGCCGAGACCATATAACACTGGTCCTGAGAGATCTGCATTGGCTCCCAGGACGTTTCTGAGCACAATTCAAAGTGTTGGTGCTGACCATTAAAGCCCTAAATGGCCTCGGTCCTGTATACCTGAAGAACCGTCTCCATCCCCATCGTCCAGCCCAGACACTGAGGTTCAGCGCCGAGGGCCTTCTGGCGGTTCCCTCATTGTGAGAAGTGAGGTTACAGGGAACCAGGGAGAGGGCCTTCTTGGTGGTGGCGCCCACCCTGTGGAACGCCCTCCCACCAGATGTGAAGGAAATAAGCAGCTATCTTATCTTTAAAAGACATCTGAAGGCAGCCATGTTTAGGGAAGCTTTTAATATTTAACGCTGTTTTGTTTTTAACACTCGATTGGAAGCCGCCCAGAGTGGCTGGGGAAACTCAGCCAGATGGGCGGGGTATAAATAATAAATTATTATTATTATTATGGCTGCCTCCGACCGTGGAGGCAGAATATAGCCTTTGTTCCTTTGCATCAGTTAATATTTTAAGTTTTATTCAGGGCAAGAAGCCCAGAATAAAACTTAAAATATTAACTGATGCAAAGGAACGAGGGGGATTTGCCCTGCCAGATTTTAAACTTTATTATGAATCAGCAGCATTCTGCTGGCTGAAAGATTGGCTGCTTCTTGAGAACACAAACATTTTGGATCTAGAAGGTTTCAATAATGTTTTTGGGTGGCATGCATACTTATGGTACGACAAGGTTAAAGCACATAAAGCATTTAAAAACCATATTGTCAGAAAAGCATTGTTTAATGTCTGGACAAGATATAAAGACTTACTTGAAAACAAAACCCCAAGGTGGTTGTCACCGATGGAGGCAAAGGCCCTGAAAAAGCTCAATATGGAGGCCAAGTGGCCGAAATATTGGGAAATCTTGGAGCAAGAAGGAGACAAATTGAAATTGCAGAGTTTTGAGAAACTAAAAGATAAAGTGCGAGACTGGCTTCATTATTATCAAATAAGAGAGGCTTATAATTTAGATAAAAAAATTGGCTTCCAGGTGGAAAAATCAAAGTTGGAAACAGAGCTGTTAGATCCTAAAACAAAGATACTTTCAAGAATGTATAACTTGCTGTTAAAATGGAACACTCAGGACGAGACGGTTAAATCTGCTATGATTAAATGGGCACAGGACGTTGGACATAACATTATGTTTGCTGACTGGGAACAGTTGTGGACCACAGGTATAAAATTTACGGCATGTAATGCTTTAAGAGAGAATATTATGAAAATGATATACAGGTGGTACATGACCCCAGTCAAGCTTGCAAAAATCTATCACTTGCCCGACAATAAATGTTGGAAATGTAAAGAAACTGAAGGTACATTCTTTCACCTTTGGCGGACGTGCCCAAGGATTAAGTCTTTCTGGGAGATGATTTATAATGAATTAAAAAAGGTATTTAAATACACTTTCTTGAAGAAACCAGAGGCCTTTCTCCTAGGCATAGTCGGCCAATTGGTGCCAAAGAAGGATAGAACTTTCTTTATGTATGCAAAAACAGCAGCAAGAATACTTATTGCAAAGTATTGGAAGACACAAGATTTACCCATCCTGGAAGAGTGGCAGATGAAGGTGATGGACTATATGGAATTGGCGGAAATGACTGTCAGAATCCGTGACCAGGGAGAAGAGTCGGTGGAAGAAGATTGGAAGAAATTTAAAGACTATTTGCAGAAATACTGTAAAATTAATGAATGTTAAAATGATGTTGGAATGGAAATAAGTGGTTTTGGTAATAAGGTTAATAAGAATATGCAAATATAGATTGTTATATGGATGAAAATATATTGTTATGATAGGTTAAGATATAGAGTAAAGATAAATGAAAGAGGGTAAGGATTTGCTGAAAGGATTTTGTAAACGGGAATACAAAAAGGGGAGGTGTGAGGAGGTCAAGGAAATAAGTAAATGAGCCTAAAGATATTGAAAAATGGATTTTTTCTTTTTTAATTTTCCCCCCCTCTTTTTCTTTTTTAGCCATCTGTTTTTTGTATTTTGTATTTTCCTTTTTCTCTTTTAGGTCCTTGTTTTTTTGGTATTATCTTAGGTTCTTGTTTTATTGGTACTATCCTTGTTATCTTTTTTCTTTTTCTGTTTATGTGTAATCTTTGGTTTAATTTTCTTAATTTTTTTAAACCTATGTTTATTGTAAAATCCTAATAAATATTTTATAAAAAAGAAAAGAAAAAGAATATAGCCTTTGTGACAAGTAGCTACACAGAGCCCGATTCCCCTCTAACCCTCTTTCAGTGCCACCCAATCCAATCCAAATAACTTTATTGTACTAGCTGTGGGCTATGGAAAACCCGAATCAAAAACAAATACTCCTAAAGGGATGCCATGTCACAAATAGTAGCCTCATTGCCACCCAAGTTAGTGGCTGTCGCTGCCTCTGTTGCAGAGTTGGAAGGGACCCTTAGGGTCATCTAGTCCAACCCCCTGCAATGCAGAAATCTCAACTAAAGCATCCATGGCAGATGGCCACCCAACCTCTGCTTAAATACCTCCAAGGAAGGAGAGTCCACAATCTCCTGAATGAGACTGTTCCACTGCTGAACAGCTCTTACTGTCAGAAAGTTCTTCCTGAGGTTTAGTCGAAATAACTTGAAGCCATGGGTTCGAGTCCTGCCCTCCAGAGCAGAAGAAAACAAGCTTGCTTCATCTCCCACGGGACAGCGCTTCAGATATTTGAAGATGGCTATATGATATCACCTCTCAGTCTACTCTTCTGCAGGCTAAACATATCCAGCTCCTTCCTCATAAGGCTCGGTTTCATATATATAGAAACCACAGAGGGCCTTCTCGGTGGTGGCACCCGCCCTGTGGAACTCCCTCCCACCAGATGTCAAAGAGAACAACAGCTACCAGACTTTTAGAAGACATCTGAAGGCAGCCCTGTTTAGGGAAGCTTGTAATGTTTGATGCATTACTGTATTTTAATATTTTTTTGGAAGCTGCCCAGAGTGGCTGGGGAAGCCCAGCCAGATGGGCGGGGTATAAACAAACAAACAAACAAACAAACAAACAAACAAACAAACAAACAAATAATAATAATAATTATTGTTGTTGTTGTTTTTAACATATCATTTCCAACAATCATATAACATAACTTCTTATCTTATACAATGTTTTAGACTTCCGTCAACACCTCTGATGATTTTTCATTCTTTATCACTTATTCTGCATTTCTTAATTTCTCTAGTACTCTTAATTGTCATTAACTAATAATTCTCCTCATAGTATTTCTTGAAATATTTCGAACAATCCTCCTTACAAAACGTCTTGCACTCCTACTAGTGTAATCTGTTCATGACAACTACTTTTCAAATAGTTCGTATATTTACTCCAGTCTTCTAAGAATCTCTGATCCCGCAGGTTTCGAACCCTCCCTGACAACTTATCCAGTTCTGCATAGTCCATCAACTTCACTCGCCATTCTTCTTTCGTCAGTAATTCTTCTTGCTTCCATTTTTGTGCCAATAATATTCTTGCTGCCTATAAGATCCTTCTGATTCCCCTCCTCTGCACATGTTCCAGCTGGTCAATATCCTTTCTAAACTGTGGTGCCCAGATTCCAGCATTCCAGGTGTGGTCTGATCAAGGCAAATTAGAGTTGGTACTATGACTTGATCTGGATACTATACTTCTGTTGATGCAGCCTAAAACAGCATTCAACATTTTTGCTGCTGCATCACACTGTTGGCTCATGTTCAGCTTGTGGTCTACTAAGACCCTTCAATTCTTTTCACATGTACTACTGGTAAACCAGGGGCCACCCATCTTATATTTGTGCAGCTGGTTCTTCCTGCCTAAGTGCAGAACCTGACATTTGTCCCTATTGAAATTCATTTTGTTAGCTTGGACCCAGTTCTCTCATTTTGAATTCTGATTCTGTAATAATAATAATAATAATAATAATAATAATAATAATAATAATGTTGTTGTTGTTTAGTTGTTTAGTCGTGTCCGACTCTTCGTGACCCCCTGGACCAGAGCACGCCAGGCCCCCCTGTCTTCCACTGCCTCCCGCAGTTTGGTCAAACTCATGTTCGTAGCTTCGAGAACACTGTCCCACCATCTCGTCCTTTGCTGTCCCCTTCTCCTTGTGCCCTCAATCTTTCCCAACATCAGGGTCTTTTCCAGGGAGTCTTCTCTTCTCACGAGGTGGCCAAAGTCTTGGAGCCTCAGCTTCACGATCTGTAGTAGTAATAATAATAATAATAATAATAATAATAATAATAATTTTTATTTATACCCCGCTCTCCCCAGCAAGGACAGGGCTCAGGGCGGCTAACATAAAAGTATGATACATTAAAAACATAAACCAGACAATCGATTAAAATACAGCTTAAAATCAAATTTGGAGCAGAATAAAATCAGATGGCAACCCATGGATTATAACTATAGGGGTGGGGAACATTGTCCCCAACATTACCTACCCTTCCCAGTTTGGTGTCATCTGCAAATCTGATGAGCATCCCCTCAATTCCTTTGTCCAAGTCCTTTATAAAGAAGCTGAACAACAATGGACCCAGGACAGAACCCTGTGGCATCCCATTTGTCACTTTTCCCCACGATGATGAGGATCCATATTAATGAGTCCTCTTTGGGTTCGGCCAGTGACCCAGCTACAAATCCACCAAACAGTTACCTTGTTCAACCTGCATATTACCAGCTTCCTCGCAGGAATATCATGGGGGATGTTATGCACTGAGTTGAATAGGATCCAAAATGCAGCAGTCTGATTGGTCCTAGAACAATAGGATTCAGAATGCAGCAGTCTGATTGGTCCTAGAACAATAGGATTCAGAATGCAGCAGTCTGATTGGTCCACAGGAGCCACCCAATCCAGCTCCAGGTGGAAGTGAATCCGCAATCTGATTGGCCTACAGGAGAATCCCAGAATTAGCCAATCACGTGGGGCCCACTTTGTAAATAGGGTATATAAAGCAGACATTCTGGGGGAACTTCCATTCCTCCTCACCACTATGAGCTGAATAAAGAGCATGAAATCCACTCACTTCTCCAAGTGTATTTCAGGGGACTTTGTCAAAAGCCTTAGTGAAATCAAGATACACTATGTCAGCAGCATTTCCCTTATCCGCCAAGCTTGTAACTCCATAAAAGAAAGAAAGAAATGAGATTCATCTGGCTTGACTGGTTTTTGAAGAAATCCCCTGCCGGGTCTTAATAATCACAGCTTCCTTTTCTAAGTGCTCACACTGACTGCTGAATTCTCTGTTCTAGGACCTTCCCTGGTATCGAGGTCAAGCTCACCTGTCAGGAGTTACCTGGATCTTCTGAGATTCTTTAGCTGTGGTTCCTGCGTGGCAAGGGGGTGGACTCGAGGGCCCTTGGAGATCGCTCCCAACCCTACAATTCTGTGTTCCTATGTTTGATTTGCTGTGTTATACAACTTAAGAAAATGATGCAGAGCAGGAAAAAAAAAGGTTATTACAGAGAAATAAAATATTGGGTTTTCATGCTGCAACCCACCCTGGGACTTTAGGGCAAAGGGCAGGCAGAGTGGCTGGGGAAGCCCAGCCAGATGGGTGGGGTATAAATAAATTATTATTATTTTTATTTATTTATTTATTATTATTATTATTATTATTAATTCAGACTGGCTGCAGTTCTCTCTCTGGGCCACCAGTATGCAAATGAAGGATTGAGAGTTGCTATCACCGATTGGGTAGTTTGTTGGAATTTGTTACTGTTACAAGTTAGGTAAAGGTAAAGGGACCCCTGACCATTAGGTCCAGTCGTGACCGACTCTGGGGTTGCGGCGCTCATCTCGCTTTACTGGCCGAGGGAGCCGGCGTACAGCTTCCGGGTCATGTGGCCAGCATGACTAAGCCACTTCTGGCGAACCAGAGCAGTGCACGGAAACGCCGTTTACCTTCCTGCTGGAGAGGTGCCTATTTATCTACTTGCACTTTGACGTGCTTTTGAACTGCTAGGTTGGCAGGAGCAGGGACCGAGCAACGGGAGATCACCCCGTCGCGGGGATTTGAACCGTCGACCTTCTGATTGGCAAGTCCTAGACTCTGTGGTTTAACCTATAGTGCCGCCCATGTCCTTAAAACCAATGGTCTCCCCATCAGGGAATCGAACCCCGGTCTCCCGTGTGACAGATGGGGATACTTACCCCTACACTAGCGAGGATTACAAGTTATTGAGCATTATATAAGGCAGCCAGCTTCACTGTTGTTCAGAGAGACTTAGAGCAGTGCTAACTGCTGTAATAAAGAGCTGTTGCTTAAAAGAGCTGTGTCTGTCACCCATCTTTCCCACTATACAACACAATAAACAAATAATACTGTGTGCCCCCACCCATTCTTTGTATCTTTATTAAAGGTAAAGAGACCCCTGACCATTAGGTCCAGTCATGGCCGACTCTGGGGTTGCGGCGCTCATCTCGCTTTATTGGCTGAGGGAGCCAGCGTACAGCTTCCGGATCATGTGGCCAGCATGTCTAAGCCGCTTCTGGTGAACCAGAGCAGCGCACGGAAACGCCGTTTACCTTCCTGCCAGAGCGGTACCTATTGATCTACTTGCACTTTGATGTGCTTTCGAACTGCTTGGTTGGCAGGAGCAGGGACCGAGCAACGGGAGCTCACCCCGTCACGGGGATTTGAATCGCCGACCTTCTGATTGGCAAGTCCTAGGCTCTGTGGTTTAACCCACAGCGCCACCCGCGTTCCTTGTATCTTTATTACATCCCCTCTAATTCCTAGTATAATTCTGTTCCGTTCCCACTTTGGCAAAGAGTTGGAAACGCGAACCTGGAGGAAGGTAGGAAGGAAGGAAGGAAGGAAGGAAGGAAGGAAGGAAGGAAGGAAGGCATGTTAGTTTTGAGTCCAGCAGAGAGAGGGGATAAAGCCAAGAGCGTGCCTTGTCAATCGTTCATCATTAGCATTTCCCACAATCCCTTGGTGGCATGTTCCTTTATTAACCCCACTTAGTCTGGAGCAGCGGCTCAGATTTACAGGCTGGAGGATGCTGCCTGGGGAGCTGAGGATAATTTGTTGGCAAATTCAGGACACATAAAATGAAGTCCTTCTCCACGCAGCACAGAGTTAAACCATGGAACTCCCTGCCACAGGAGGCAGTCGCAGCCACCAATATGGGTGGCTTGAAAAGAGGATTGGTCAGGAATGCTAACAACACGGTCACAATATCATCATTTGAATGAAATATTTTAAAAGGTTATGAAGCCGGGGGTTTGGGGAACAGCTATCATAATTAGAGAGAGACCTGTTTAATTGTAATGCTAAATAATAACAATAATCATAATTAATAAATTTTATTTATACCCCGCCCTCCCCGGCCAGAGCTGGGCTCAGGGCGGCTAACACCAGTAAAATGACAGTAAAAACATAATAGGGGGAAAAAACTCCAATTTAAAATACAGGTTAAAAGGGCAAAGCGTGTTCTCCCTAAAACGAGAGCACGTGTTGTGGTGGGGTCTGCCAAGCCAACCCTCTGTTGCCAGGCAGGTAAATATGAGTTGGCCTGGGGCATTTGATTGGAAGGCTGGGTTGCTGGGGCAAATTGCATGTTGCAATGTGGTGGGTGGGACCAAAGGCTTTAAATATTGGGGCACTCAGCTTTTGCTTTCTCTTTCGCTGAGTGCATCGGATCACCCGCCCGCCGGCCCGCCCTGAGTTCCGGTTGACCTTGCTTTGCCTGTCATGGGGTCGTCTGCCGTTGGGGCAGGGGCCAGTAGGAATTTTGTCCATTTGGATGATTGGCTGGTGCCATTTGGTTTTTGCCTACTACTTAGTAATTCATCACAACGTGTAAGGTTGCGGTTAGGCATTGGTTATAAAAATTGGTGGAAGAGGGGTCAGGATAGGCTGGGCCTGCCCCTCCAATGGTGGTGCGGAAGGGAATTCCGTTAAAGGAATCCAGGGGCTTGCCACGATTTCCTCCAATCCCTGAAATGGGACGAGGGCCGGCAAGCCTTGGGGGGAGGGGAGCAGGTTGGTTGAGCGGTGAGGGCCTGTCACTCAGCTCAGCTGATTCCCAATATTGCTTTCCCTTCACTGGCTTCCAAGGGAGTTCGGAAAATCAGTTCTGTCCGAGGCGGGGGGACAGATAGTCTTAACCAATGCCTAAGCAACCACTCACAGATTATGTATTTCAATAAAGTTGTGGCCAAAATTATGCCAAAAACCTTAAACAAAAATTATGTGTGAATTGTGAATTTATTTTGAGGGGTGGCATGGGGACCTCGACACGCAAAAGCTATGCACAAACGGAAGTTCCCAGCAAGCTGTGCTGGAATGTAAACAGACATGTGACATACAACAGCTCCATACATCTGTTTAGGTGGAATAGAACATCAATATCCTAATATTGGCAGGTGGTGGACTCTCCTTCACTGGAAGTTTTTAAGCAGAGGTTGGATGGCCATCTGTCATGGATGCTTTAGTTGTGATTCCTGCACCGGTTGGACTACATGACCCTCAGGGTCCCTTTCAACTCTGCAATTCTATGATCCTGCGATTTCTATGATCTGGTTGGCCACTGTGAGAACAGGATGCTAGGCCAGAAGACCGTTGGCTTGACCCGACAGGCTCTGACATTTCTCCTTTACCTTGAGGCAGCCTACCCCCCTGCCCACTCTAAGGTCCCTCAGAATTTAGCCAAATCATGGCATCTCTGTAGTCTTCTACATCACCATCCTTCCCATGGGTTTAGGAAATGTGACCACGAGGCCTCAGAAAAATCCTGGATACAGCCATGTCTTCCTCTGTTCTCACAGGGCAGTGAAACAAAGAAAATCTCGGGCCACTTTGTGAAGCCATCTGAGGCATAGCTGTCAACTTTTCCCTTTTCTTGCGAGGAATCCTATTCGGAATAAGAGAATTTCCCTTTAAAAATGGAAAAACGTTGACAGCTATGATCTGAGGTCACCCTCCTCAAACATTTCTGTGAAATTCATCTGCCCCGGAAGCTGTTGAAATCTGGCCCCCCTCCATGAGGGCAAAAAATCCCATGAAAGGTGTGGTGTGTGTGACTTTTGCCCCTGCCTTTGTACAAATCAGGTGTCTTCTGGTATCTGAGGCTCCTCAACAACAATCGTGTGTTTCATCCCTCAAGAATGCCATGGCCTTGGAAGAGAAATGTGATTAGCTGCTCGTTAATTGTGTCGAGTTTTTCCAAGTGATGAATGGAAAATTAATTCCTGGAGAGCCGAGGACATTCCTCGAAGGTCGCCGTTCCCACACTTGCTTTTTCGGCAACCCTCCAGCAGTTTTGCCAAGTTCCTTTCAATGCTTCACTGTTGGAAGGGAAATGATGGACTCGGACGGCAGGCGATGGATTTCCTGGGACCCCATCTTGATTCCAGCCCCTAAGCAGGTTGGCCTGGCCATCGCTTCTTGAATATGGGTCCCCACTTCATCATGGGGTCACAATGAGTCGGACACAACTAAATGACTAAACAACAACAACAATCATATCCTCTCCCAGTCTCCTCTTTTCCAGGCTCAATGGGAAAGAGTTGATTGAGCTCAACTCTTCCACTGCCTTGTTTTGTGAAGAGCAATGGATGATGATGATTTTTTAAGAATCTGATGGCTTCCCCCAACACTCATTGCAAAGCTCCTTCCTCTTCTACATTCTGCTCCTGAATCGTTCCCCGTGTGATAGGGCAAGAAATGACGTAACAAATCAGAACAACAGCTCTCTCCAAAGCCTGTCTTGTCCTATGCAGATATGGAGACAGGGAAAGATGGATTTCTACCTTTCCAGCTCCAGAGCCTGGAGACCTCCTCCGAGCCAGCGCTAAGTGAGTGTATAAATATTCTTGGTGCACACCTATTGCCACAGAGGCACTCAAGACCGATTGATTTTCTACAGTAAGGAGGCATTGGCAGAGCCGGGCCCATTACAAGTGAGAAGCCTGTTTGCGAGGAAAGCCTCCCGCAAGCCGATCTGACAGCAAGGAGGAGCTTTCAATAGGACCTGACAGTTGGCAAGGATGTGGTGACAAGGTCTTTACTGCATTAGACTGATTGGATGGCTCCCGAGACGGTTGCATAAGTAGCAGGACCCTTCGGAGATGAATACGTGTCGGTTGCTGTGTGGGTTTGTGCTTGTTGTTTGCGTGCCTCAGTTCCCTGGCTCGGAATCCAAGATCTCTACTTAAGAGAATGCAGATGGACAGCAGAGATCTCTGCCCGGCACTCTCCGTCACTCAAGTTTAACATGAGTCAACCTGCAACACTGGCTCCCAGTGGAGTGTTGGGTCAGGTTTAAGGTGCTGGTTTTGACCTTTAAAGCCCTTTGTGGCTTAGGGCCCTCATATTTACGGGACCGCCTCTCCTGGTCTGCCCCACAGAGGACCTTAAGGTCCATGAATAACCATAGTTTAGAGGTCCCGGGCCGTAAGGAAGTCAGATTATCCTTCACCAGGGCCAGGGCCTTCTCAGCGATGGCTCCGACCTGGTGGAATGCTCTGTCCTATGAGACCAGGGCCCTGCAGGATTTCACTTCCTTCTGCAGGGCCTGTAAGACAGAGCTATTCCTGGCTTTCAATTTGAACTTAGCCTGAACTTTTATTCCCCTTCCTTCCCTCCCCCTCCCCTTTTTATGAAGATTACTCGCTCTGGGATCCCACAGCTAATTCTCCCCTGGTCTCCTCGCTGGCCCAAACAGGACTAATTTAGCCAGCTAGCCCTGGGGATCATCTAATGTGTATTGGATGGATTTCCCCCCTAAATTGATTTTTGAATTATAAATTTATTGTTATTCACGTTTTATACTGTATTTTATGCTGTTTTTTGTTGCATCAATTAAGTGTTTTAAATTTGTTGTTAGCTGCCCTGAGCCTGGTTTTCTGAACGATTGGAAGTTTTATGCATAAATTTTTATTTGATGGATATGATTCTGTAAAATTTTTTTGTTCTTTTTCTTTTCTTTTTCCTTATTCTTATGTCTTGATGTTTTTTTCTGTATTCAATTATTTTATACTTACCTTTGTTGTAAATGATCATTCACGTCTGTATTTTAAACCAATAAAGATTTACCATGAAAATAATAATAATAATAATAATAATAATAAATAAAACAGCAATTTAACATGAATTTTACTATCTAACGAGACCATCAATCCATAAAATGCAATAAACAATGGACTGCAGTCACACAATCGATCAGTAGCTGAACTGGGTTCCACACGGTCACAAAAACAGCGTAACACTCAAAATGGAGAACGTTTGGCTTCTGAAAAAAGTTCACAAACCGGAACACTTACTTCCAGGTTTGCAGTGTTTGGGTTCCAAGTTGTTTGAGTACCAAAGCGTTTGAGAACTAAGGTACCACTGTATGCTGCTTTTAAAAACCTATCCTGAATCTTCCAGCCTTCAGCTTCATTGAGTGTCCACAACATCTCCCCTTTTTTCCTGGTCAGCCGCTGCAGTTCAGACCCCATTAGTATAATTGTGAAGTCAGGGGATTCCCCACCCCCAAAAATTCATCACTTTGAACTTAGTTAGATTGAGCCCTGTTTGCCATTTTAATGCCCAGTTCGGTGACATCCTTTTGGAACTCCTCACAAGAGGAGGAGCCAGTGTGGTGTAGTGGTTCAGAGCAGTAGTCTCGTAATCTGGTGAACCAGGTTCGCTTCCCCGCTCCTCCACATGCATCTGCTGGGTGACCTTGGGCCAGTCACACTTCTTTGAAGTCTCTCAACCCCACTCACCTCACAGAGTGTTTGTTGTGGGGGAGGAAGGGAAAAGAGATTGTGAGCCACTTTGAGACTCCTGAAGGGGAGTGATAAAGCGGGATATCAAATCCAAACTACTACTACTCCTTCCTTCCTTCCTTCCTTCCTTCCTTCCTTCCTTCCTTCCTTCCTCCTTCCTTCCTTCCTTCCTTCCTTCCTTCCTTCCTTCCTTTTCTCTCTCTCTCTCTCTCTCTCTCTCTCTCTCTCTCTCTCTCTCTCCCTCTCCCTCCCTCCCTCCCTCCCTTCCTTCCTTCCTTCCTTCCTTCCTTCCTTCCTTCCTTCCCCAGTGTGGTGTAGTGGTTAAGAGCAGTAGACTTGTAATCTGGTGAACCGGGTTCGCGTCTCCACTCCTCCACATGCAGCTGCTGGGTGACCTTGGGCCAGTCCCACTTCTCTGAAGTCTCTCAGCCCCACTCACCTCACAGAGTGTTTGTTGTGGGTGAGGAAGGGAAAGGAGAATGTTGGCCGCTTTGAGACTCCTTAGGCTAGTGATAAAGCGGGATATCAAATCCAAACTCTTCTTCTTCTTCAAGGTGTTTCCAATGGGTGAGGCTTGATGTGTCTTGACCAGGACAGGGCCTTCTCTGCAGTGGCATCCCAGCTGTGAAACTCCCTCCCTCCTTTCCCAAATAAAATGGACATCATGGCCCTAAAGGGAGTGAAAGGCAGGATATCAAATCCAAACTCTTCTTCCAAATCCAATCCCTCACTGGGCATCACTCCAGATCGTTGGTGAACAAATCGGAAACCAAGGCCCCAATACCAATCCATTTCTTACATCCATCCATGGTAGAAACGTCTACAGTGGTACCTTAGTTCTCAATCCCTTCTGTAAGTCTGTTCCAAAACCAAAGCGTTCCAAAACCAAAGTGCGCTTTCCCATAGAAAGTAATGCAAAACAGATTAATCCATTCCAGACTTTTATAAACAACGCCTAAAACAGCCATTTAACATGAATTTTACTATGTAATGAGACCACTGATCGATAAAATGAAAGCAGTAATCAATGTGCTGTGCTATAAAATAAATACGACAGTGTTGTAGATGATAAAAATAAATAATAATTTTTTTCTTACCTGCACTGATGATAGTCATTTTTTGAATGGAGGGCTTTTATCCATTTCCACAGTCACACAACCAATCAATCAATCAATCAATCACTAGCTGAACTGGGTTCCACACAGCCACAAAAACAAATTAACTGAAAAAGCCTAAAAAACAAAAACGCAAAATAAATAGCAAAAACAAAAGCGCCAAACTTAATCCGTTCCGGCAGTCTGTTTGACTTCTGAAATGTTCAAAAACCAAGGCGCAAGCTTCTGATTGGTGCAGGCGCCCCGGAAACAATAGTCGACAGCCACGTCGGATGTTCAGCTTCCGAAAAAGGTTCAAAACCCGGAACCTTTATTTTATGTACTGAGTTGAATAGGATCCAAATTGCAGCAGTCAGATTGGTCCTAGAATAATAGGATTCAGAATGCAGCAGTCTGATTGGTCCTAGAACAATAGGATCCAGAATGCAGCAGTCTGATTGGTCCGCAGGAGCCACCCAATCCAACTCCAGGTGGAAGTGAATCCGCAACCTGATTGGCCTACAGGAGAATCCCAGAACTATCCAATCACATGGGGCCCATTGTGTAAATAATGTATATAAAGCAGACATTTCGGGGGAACTTCCATTCCTCACTACTATGAGCTGTATAAAGAGCATGAAATCCACTCTCGACTCCGAGTATATTTCACCTTACTTCCAGGTTTTTGGCGTTTGAGAACCAAGGCGTTTGAGAACCAAGGTACCACTGTATTCAGAATGAAAGACAAGCTGTTCACTCTTGGATCTGAAATTGGGTTGAATCGTCCCAGTAGGACCCCCTCCCCACCTCCCCAAAGACCCCATGACAGATCAGATTAATTCCAGCCATTTCCTGGGGTGAGTGTCTTTCTGGCCAGCAATTTCATCTCTTCTTCTCCAGCGTGAATATAGAAAGATGGAACTGACTTGAAAAAAAAAATCAATGGCTGAAAAGATAGGCTACATCATCAAAATTATATTAGTCTTTAATAGTCAATCAATTAATTTTAAAACATTCCAGTTATTTAAGAGGAGGGGAGATGGAGACTTTTCTTAGCAAGGATATTATTCTCTTCTTCCTCCCCCCCATCGGCTGCCCATTTCTGCCCCGGGACCAGTGGCCATCACTATGGCTTTTCATGGGAACGTTGGCTTGCGTGACATTTCTCTTCTGGCTGAAAAATGTGAGTGTGGGGTGGGTGGGAATTGATGGGTTGGTGGGCTGGGAAGAAGGCTGCTGAGGTCCTGGAAAATGAAGTGCTGCATTGATATGAATTTTGATAGCTAGTCAATAGCCTACGTCCATTTCAATTAAAAAAGAGTAGGTTTCTCCAGGCCAAAGAGGCAGTGTTTCAGAGCCTATAAAAAGAGAACAAGGAAGAGGGTCGCTGAGGTGCAGGTGGGACTTTGATCCCGTAGAGACCCTCACCCTTGGACTTTTCCTGTTACTGACCTGATTTCGGAAATCCAAAAACCTCTTAACCCTTGCGCGTCCGGCAGCAGGTCTTTGATGTTCTCGTCGTCGTCAAATATCGGAAGGGCCGTCACAAGAAAAATGAGCTTCTTTTCTGCTGATCCGGAGGGCAGGACTCAAACCTATGGCTTCAAATGACCGGAAAGGAGATTCTGACTCAACAGCAGGAATAACTTTCTGACGGTAAGAGCTGGTCAACAGTGGAACGGTCTCCCTAGGGAGGTTGTGGACTCTCCTTCCTTGAAGGTTTTTAAGCAGAGGTTGGATGGCCATCTGTCATGGATGCTTTAGTTGAAATTCCTGTATTGAAGGTGATTGGACTAGATCAGGAGTCAGCAAACTTTTTCAGCAGGGGGCTGGTCCACTGTCCCTCAGACCTTGTGGGGGGCTGGACTATATTTTTTGGGGGGTAAATGAATGAATTCCTATGCGCCACAAATAACCCAGAGATGCATTTTAAATAAAAGGACACATTCTTCTTGTTGTTGTTTAGTCGTTTAGTTGTGTCCGACTCTTCATGACCCCCTGGACCAGAGCACAGCAGGCCCTCCTGTCTTCCACTGCCTCCTGCAGTTTGGTCAAACTCAAGCTGGTAGCTTTGAGAACACTGTCCCACCATCTCATCCTCTGTCGTCCCCTTCTCCTTGTGCCCTCCATCTTTCCCAACATCAGGGTCTTTTCCAGGGAGTCTTCTCTTCTCATGAGGTGGCCAAAGTCTTGGAGCCTCAGCTTCAGGATCTGTCTTTCCAGTGAGCACTCAGGGCTGATTTCCTTCAGAATGGAGAGGTTTGATCTTCTTGCAGTCCATGTTTCTTGCAGTCTCTTGTTTCGCTTCCGAGTCCTAACAGAATCGAATTTCTGCCCCATTCCTGGCTGATTTCCTTAGGAATGGATAGGTTTGATCTTCTTGCAGTCCATGGGACTCTCAAGAGTCTCCTCCAACACTCCTTCATGGATCACTGCCTTGCCGTGGCAAAGGGGCTTGAATAACTCAGAGTAGCTATGAACTATGCCTAGCAGGGCACCCAAGATAGACAGGTCATAGTGGAGAGTTTTGGCCAAACGTGATCCACCTGGAGCAGGAACCGGCAAGCCACTCCAGTGTCCCTGCCAAGAAAACTCCATGGACAAAGACAACGGACACATTCTACTCATGTAAAAACACCAGGCAGACCCCACAAATAACCCAGAGATGCATTTATATAAAAGGGGACATTCTGCTTATGTAAAAACATGCTGATTCCCGGACCGTCTGCGGGCTGGATTTAGAAGGCGATTGGGCCGGATTCAACCGCGGGCCTTAGGTTGCCTACTCATAGAATCATAGAACCATAGAGTTGGAAGAGACCACAAGGGCCATCGAGTCCAACCCCCTGCCAAGCAGGAAACACCATCAGAGCACTCCTGACATATGGTTGTCAAGCCTCTGCTTAAAGACCTCCAAAGAAGGAGACTCCACCACACTCCTTGGCAGCAAATTCCACTGTCGAACAGCTCTTACTGTCAGGAAGTTCTTCCTAATGTTTAGGTGGAATCTTCTTTCTTGTAGTTTGGATCCATTGCTCCGTGTCCGCTTCTCTGGAGCAGCAGAAAACAACCTTTCTCCCTCCTCTATCTGACATCCTTTTCTATATTTGAACATGGCTATCATATCAGCCCTTAACCTCCTCTTCTCCAGGCTAAACATGCCCAGCTCCCTTACTCATGGACTAGATGATTCTCAGGGTCCCTTCCACCTCTATAATTCTATGACTCATTTCAGGGCCCCATATTTTTCTTCCTCCTCATGCATCACTGCTTGCCCGATCCCAAAAGATCTGCAGGGCTTGTGACGTGTGCCTGGATTCAGTAGCCAAGTAAACCTGAGGGGCTGATATTCCTTCACAAACCACAGTACAGTTCACAGTCTGAGCATGGAGCAGGATCCTGACCTCTCTAGTATCACCCCCAAATATCCTAACTGAAGCCATTGCCCAGAGTCCTCCTGGACATCCAACCCTCTCTTCATCCACGTAGGGGTTAAAGTTGCAGGACACCCCTCTATATAAATCAGGCAATTAAGCTGGCATTAGGACGTTTAATTTTAAAACCCTCATCCTGTGAAATAATGGCCCTGGCGGACGCGCATGTCTGCACACACAAACACACAGACACAGAAAGCACCAGAGACATATAAATTTTATTATTAAAATTAACATTTAAAGCCCGTGCCGTGAAGTAATGCATGAAGAGAGGGGGGATAAATCAGCTGGTTAAACTGGTAACGTAACATTTAGCGGTTAGATTCCTGACCGTGAAATAAACTCAAGGTTACATGAGGGATAAATCAGAGAGAGAGAGAGAGAGAGGAAGAGAGAGAGAGGGAGAGAGAGAGAGAGAGAGAGAGAGAGAGAGAGAATGAATAGGAGTGTACACGAAAGAACATAATGAGAATTGGAGTCCTGGGTGAGCCTTTTCAGCTCAAGGGCCACATTCCATTCTAGACAACTTCCCGAGGGCCACATTGCAACGGTGAGCAGGGCAATGGGTGTTAATTTTACCTTTGTGCAGTAGGCTGGTTCCGTGCATGCATTGCCTTTGCTATCCTGAAATTAGTCAAGGAAAAGAGGCGCCATCCGCATTCAAGGACACTTTGCAGCCAGGGAAAAACATTTGGAGTGTGTATCCCGCAAGTAAGCTCAACATCAAAAAAACGAAGATCATGGCCCATCACCTCCTGGCAAATAGAAGGGGAAGAAATGGAGACAGTGAGAGATTTTACTTTCTTGGGCTCCATGATCACTGCAGATGGTGACAGCAGTCACAAAATTAAAAGACACCTGCTTCTGGGGAGAAAAGCAATGACAAACCTAGACAGCATCTTAAAAAGCAGAGACATCACCTTGCCAACAAAGGTCCTTATAGTTAAAGCTATGGTTTTCCCAGTAGTGATGTATGGAAGTAAGAGCTGGACCATAAAGAAGGCTGATCGCCGAAGAATTGATGCTTTTGAATTATGGTGCTGGAGGAGACTCTTGAGAGTCCCATGGACTGCAAGAAGATCCAACCTCTCCATTCTGAAGGAAATCAGGCCTGAGTGCTCACTGAGGCTCCAAGACTGAGGCTCCAAGACTTTGGCCACCTCATGAGAAGAGAAGACTCCCTGGAAAAGACCCTGATGTTGGGAAAGATGGAGGGCAGAAGGAGAAGGGGACGACAGAGGACGAGATGGTGGGACAGTGTTCTCGAAGCGACCAGCATGAGTTTGACCAAACTGCGGGAGGCAGTGGAAGACAGGAGTGCCTGGCGTGCTCTGGTCCATGGGGTCACGAAGAGTCGGACATGACTAAACGACTAAACAATAACAACAACAACAACAACATCCCGCAAGTGTCCTGGGAAAAGTGGGACATCAAATTTTCTCATGCGAGAGCACGGGGGCAATTTGGGGTGCCATGATCTCACATGATTTTGCACTGAGATCTCGCCCCCCAAAAGCACTTCCCCACCTAAAAAAAACTCCCACTTTTTTTGAGGCCATGATCTTTTTTTGAGGCCACATGTTTTGGGGCGCTGTGTGAGCAGAGCCTCCAAAAGTGCATCTTTCAGGCTCTGTGATCTCTCGCAGGTCACGTGATTTGTGTGGGAGCATGGGCGGGAAGACGTGCGCCCCAGTTTTGAGACTTGAGATGTGAGAGGGTATTTGGAGTGCAGAGCTGGGCGGGATAAGGGCATGGCCTTGGGAGCATTCCGAGGGCCAAACAGAGCATCTTGGAGGGCCAGATAGGTTTCCTCCTGGAGGGCCTGAGGTTCTAAGTAAAATGTGACCTTCTTCTTCTTCTTCTTCTTCTTCTTCTTCTTCTTCTTCTTCTTCTTCTTCTTCTTCTTTATCACTGTGAGGCACAGAGATCTGGAGCAACGGCAGACAGTGTCTTGGCGACGCGCTGTAATAATAATAATAATAATAATAATAATAATAATAACAATAATAATTTTTATTTATCCTGCCCTCCCCAGCCGTCAGGGCGGCTAACAACAGTAAAAATAACACAGTTTACATAAAACCACAATCAATTAACTGAAATACATTCTAAAATCAATTCATTCTAAAACCAATTCAAAATCAAATTAATGGTGTAGATGTCGGCAGGTTCCTGGGACCTGTGAAAATGTTCCCCCTGTCTGCAAAAGTTACGGAGAGGCTGCCTGACAGCGAAAGTGACTCCTCCAGATGTTCCCAGATGTGGGCTGCAGCTGTTCCCGGGTGACACATCCGTGAAAGGTTGTCCCTGGTGGGGCATTTTTAATGGCACTGCCGGCCTGCTTTCTGTGGTCTGGAGAGCATTCTGCAAGTCTAGTCTACCGGCGGTCTCGGCTCCAGCTGTGTGCTGTGAGGTTGCACACTTCATGTGACAAGCTCCCTGAGCGCAGGGGACAGGGAGCAGACAGGGAGAAGATTATTCTCTCCCTGGACAAGGTCTCCCTTCCTCCTCCTCCCCCCTACCCACCTCTTTCGCTCTACGTTGGCTTCTGTCCTTGGCAGAATTCCCTGCACCTGCGAAGGAGAGAGAAGTTCAGGAGCACAAGTTTCAGACATTATTGTGCAGGGAGGGGAAAGCGGCATAACAACAACAACAACAAAAAACTACTGTATTTTTTCTTGTTTAAGACTTGGTTTTCCCCCTATAGCTAACAACCCCCCACCTGAAGATCCGTCTACATTACTTACAGCAAGTGAGATCGGAAGATATAAACTGTGTGAAATAAGCCTTTGTTTTTTGAAATACTTGGAAGAAGATAAAAGACTCTCTGGAAGGGTGATGTGACGCACTATTTAATTGGGATCCGCCATTATGGGATAGACCGAGTTGCAGAGACAAATAGTCATGGGGGAGGCAAGCTCTTAATTTGTTATTATATCTGTACTTCAAGTCCGATTTGGCAAATCTCCTCTGGAAAGGCTAATGTTTGATGCAACCTGTCTGAGAAAATTAATGAGTGAACGCCTAGATTTTATTTCATCGGAACTGAGAGAAGATGGCGTCTGCCACCAGAGAAGGACTTTTGGATTGATTCGGCATAAACATAAATGTGTGTGAGGACATTCTGCAAACAATAGACTTACCAGCTGCAAAAAAAAAGGAGAGTCATACAAACTTCACACAGAAGCATATTACTGCTCACTTCAACTCGCCTGTGGAAACAACTCAGAGGCCATGAAAGAAGGAAGGATAACAACAGGAAGATTTAAAGAAGGAACTATTGGAAACTCAAGGCAGTAGAAACATAAGATGATTGGACCCCACTGAACTTGAAGCATGGGAAGCCCCAACAAAAATTTATAATTTGGCAAAATATTTGGACTATATGATATGTATTTGTATAATTTGGAATATTTAATGTGATCTGATTGGATTGTTAAAATGGAAAACTTAATAAAAATTAATATTTTTTTTTTTAAAAAAGACTAGGTTTTTTCCCTAAAAAATAATGTCGAAAATTAGGGGGCATCTTTGTTGCGATGCATCCAAGGGAACAGGGGCAATTGGCAGGTCCCCAGTTGGCGCCAGCCCACCGACGGTGGCCGGGCGAACTCCGGTTCTTGGAGCAGCATGAATCTGCGACCCAGAGCTTCAGAAACCATTAGAAGCTGGGCACACAAGCCAGCAGAGATAAGAACTCTTTTCAACGGAAGGGCAGAGAGAGGCTGTGTAAAGCGTATTTGCAAGCATTTTCTTCAGCATCAGGACAAAGGAAAAACATGTCTTCTCCCCTTCGTGTCCAAACAAAAAGCATAAGCAAAAGCTATACACAATGGAAGTTCCCAGCAGACTGTGCTGGAAGTAAACAGACATGTGACATACAACAACTCCACATGCCTGTGGGTGGAACGGAACATCAATATCCTAACAGTCTTATACACAGATACCCCCCCCCCATTTTCTTAAACCTGAGTCTCCCAAAATAGGGGGGTGTCTTATACACGGGGGCGTCTAATAGGCAGAAAAATACGGTAAGTGTCTTTGCTTAGATTCCTGCACTGCAAGGAGGGGGTTGGGCTAGATGACCCCCAGGGTCCCTTCCAACTCTGCCAGTCTATGATTCTATGAGTCCCCTGTGAAGAAAGGTTGAAGCGTATGGGACTGTTTGACTTGGAGAAAAGGCGAGTAGCAGGCGATGCATGGCACAACGAGAGTAGATAGAGGAAAGACTCCCTCTCTCGTGAGTCCTGGAAGCTCAGGGTAGGTGAATGTTGGAAGATTCGGGACAGAGGAAAGCAAGGACTTCTTCCCACAGCGCGGAGTTCAACTGTGGAACTCCCTGCCACAAGAGGCAGTGATGGCGACCAACTTGGATGGGTTTAAAAGACGATGAGACAAATTCATGGAGGAGGAGAGGGCTATGGATGACTACTAGCCAGGATGATCGAAAGCAGAGGACTCTCCTGGATTGGAGCTTTTTAAGCAGAGGTTGGTAATAATAATAATAATAATAATAATAATAATAATAATAATAATTTACGCGGGTGGCGCTGTGGGTTAAACCACAGAGCCTAGGACTTGCCGATCGGAAGGTTGGTGGTTCGAATCCCCGTAACGGGGTGAGCTCCCTTTGCTCGGTCCCTGCTCCTGCCAACCTAGCAGTTTGAAAGCACGTCAAAGTGCAAGTAGCTAAATAGGTACCGCTCTGGCAGGAAGGTAATCGGCGTTTCCGTGCGCTGCTCTGGTTCGCCAGAAGTGGCTTAGTCATGCTGGCCACATGACCCGGAAGCTGCACGCTGGCTCCCTCGGCCAGTAAAGTGAGATGAGCGTCGCAACCCCAGAGTCGTCTGCGACTGGACCTAATGGTCAGGGGTCCCTTTACCTTTACCTTATGCTCAGGACTGGTGTTATATGGTTCCAGCGGCCGCTCACAGTCACCAGTCTAGCTGCCGCATTCTGGATTTATTGCAGTTTCCGGGTCACCTTCAAAGGTTGCCCCACACAGAGCGCATTGCAGTGGTCTAAAGAAGTAGACTTCTTTAGCTGTGATTCTTGCATTACAGGGGTTTGACTAGATGAGCCTTGGGTATCTCCTCCAACTCTACAATTCAGTGATTCTATATATTTGCTGTTAGTCCTGCAAGACCTGCTTCCTGTCTTGCAAGGCTCTTTCCAACCGGCCTGGGAGGGTCTTGGCTGGTTTCAGCTACAAAATCTGAGGTTGCTGAAGAGGCCAGAGACCATCCTTGTAGAAAAATCTGCAGACCGTGCAGCTCAAGATGCCTAGAGACTCTTGCAGCTGGGTATTATTGAAGGTTTTTTTTTGTTGGGGTCAAGAATTAATTTTGCGGCTGCTTAATTTTTATGTTACTGGAATGATTAATTTTTGCATCCATATCGTGAGATCTTATTATGACTTTTGTGGGGATTGTTCAGTTTTATTGTATACTTATTGAGATGTTTTCATTTATTGCCTATGACGGCTTTTGTTATACTTTTGTAATGATATAAATCTTTTCATGTTGTAAGCTACCTTGAGCGTGGTTTTTTTTAACCACAGAAAGACAGCGTACAAATGAACAAACGCTGATGACAGTGATTATATCTTAGGGGGAAATGTTCGTACAAATAAATATATAGGTGAAAATAAAATCTGCATATCGGGCAAAACCGCTTGCAGAAATCTGCATATTGGCCAAAATGCACACTAAAATGCCGCTGGATTTTCATGTGTTGTTGTTTAGTTGTGTCCGACTCTTCGTGACCCCCTGGACCAGAGCACGCCATGCACTCCTGCCTTCCACTGCCTCCTGCAGTTTGGTCAAACTCATGTCGGTAGCTTCAAGAACACTGTCCAACCATCTCATCCTCTGTCGTCCCCTTCTCCTTGTGCCCTCCATCTTTCCCAACATCAGGGTCTTTTCCAGGGAGTCTTCTCTTCTCATGAGGTGGCCAAAGTCTTGGAGCCTCAGCTTCAGGATCTGTCCTTCCAGTGAGCACTCAGGGCTGATTTCCTTCAGAATGGAGAGGTTTGATCTTCTTGCAGTCCATGGGACTCTCAAGAGTCTCCTCCAGCACCATAAAATCCAGTTGTCTTCCCCTTCATGGATCACTGCCTTGCCGTGGCGAAGGGGCGTGAATAACTCAGAGAACCTATGAGCTATGCCGAGCAGGGCACCCAAGTTGGACAGGTCATAGTGGAGAGTTTTGACCAAACGTGATCCACCTGGAGCAGGAACCAGCAAGCCACTCCAGTATCCCTGCCAAGAAAACTCCATGGACAAAGACAACTGGATTTTTATAGGGACTTGCAATTGCGAGCTGATGCAGAAATGTGTCTGATGGAACACAATACTGAGGGAAAATTGAATTGCCAAAGATGACTGTTTTTTCCAGCCCTCCATCTCTAAGCAACTCTGGCTTCTGGTATCACTTGGCAAAATAAAGCAGAACCGGTTGAAGTTTTAAAATTTATATTGTTATACAGAAAAATATTGGGTAGACCTCACTTTCTGAACATATCCTCATTTGTCTCACCACAGACCTCTCCTCTCCAACCTTCCACCGAGAGCAACTTAACTTAGATTTAAAGTTCTTGAGGCTCCAGCTTAAACCTTGCAGTTTTTCCAAGTAACATTTGCACAGTAAAACTTCTCCTCGTGGGGGGATTTACTGTCATAATTAATAGGTTATGATTAGGTCAATAACTTTCATCAACCCAGCCAGGAGAGAACCTATTAATGAAACTGTAAAACAACATAAACTGTGTGATGAAGATAGGAGGGTGAATTTACAACTTCCCAGAAACCCTAATAACTAACGCGACAATTTACAGGAAGTAAAATGAACTGGGCCCCCATAAAACACAACCCAAATGATGCCCTCTCTCCAAACAAGACAAATTAGAAACGTTTAAGTGCATTCCTCAACCTGAAGAGAAGAAGGAGACTCTGTAGGGAGGAGATGTTTGGTGTTGTGGCGGTTTAGGGACTCTGTTATTGGTTGGCGTCCGTCTGTCTCAGGAGACAATGGAGGAGTGAGCCTTTGGGGGTGAACTCAAACCATTTGAGAGTTACAGCACCTGTTGTGGCTGGAGAGATTGATAGGGGAGAGACATGTTTTGTTGCAGATGGGGCAGATGAAGGCTTCCAGTTGTGAGGGAATAATGCAGGACTGCGTAGACGCACACATGCAATAGGCATAAATCATGTAGCTTCTTTTCAGCAGCACTTAAGAGTGGCACTACCAGATCTTTGGCAAATATCATTTCCAGCTCTCGCCACCTGAAATCCCTTAAATGCAGATCAATTAGGGCCGTATACTTGTAATGCGTGTATTCAATCACTTAACTAGAAGAATTCTCAGACAGATTTTTCTTTCTTTCTGGAAGCAAACAACACAGAAATGAGCACTAAAGCTTGCACTATATTCCTCCATGTTTCCAGAAGTGACTTTTAGGTCCTGTAAAAGCTTGGACATAATGTGGCATTTATTGGTTCGAGAAAAGTCACAAGAATATGCTGCCATGTGAACACAACGTAAGAGGACATTAAGTCAGATCAGGTTTGATTCACTATCTATGTGGCGAGCTGATGTTGTTGTTGTTGAGTCGTTTAGTCGTGTCCGACTCTTCGTGACCTCATGGACCAGAGCACGCCAGGCCCTCCTGTCTTCCACTGCCTCCTGCAGTTTGGTCAAACTCGTGCTGGTCACTTCGAGAACACTGTCCCGCCATCTCGTCTACCATCTTTCCCAACATCAGGGTCTTTTCCTGGGAGTCTTCTCTTCTCATGAGGTGGCCAAAGTCTTGGAGCCTCAGCTTCAGGATCTGTCCTTCCAGTGAGCACTCAGGGCTGATTTCCTTCAGAATGGAGAGGTTTGATCTTCTTGCAGTCCATGGGACTCTCAAGTGTCTCCTCCAGCACCATAATTCAAAAGCATCAATTCTTCGGCGATCAGCCTTCTTTATAGTCCAGCTTTCACTTCCATACATCACTACTGGGAAAACCATGGCTTTTACTATATGGACCTAATGCCAATGAACGAGTCTTTTACTTTCACACAATTTATTCTGCTCACATTGGTTAAATTTTCCCGCCAGGGCGATTTCTCACACTTTGGACCACCAGCCCTGTGAGGTCAATGATGGGGGATAAAGCCAGTACCTTGCTATTTCATGTTGTGAGAAAGAAGAGTATCAGATCTTTATGTATTAGATAGAATACATAAAGGGGAGGGCTGTGTGGAGAGAGTCTCTTCCTTCAAATTCCTAGGAGTTTATCTCAGTGAAGACCTTACTTGGAAAATCAATACAACCCAGGTGGTTAAGAAAGCCCAACAGAGACTCCATCTCCTCAGAGCATTGCGGAAGAACGATGTCAATCAACATTTGATGATCTCCTTCTACCGGTCCACAATAGAAAGTGTCCTTTCCTACTGCATCACGGTGTGGGACGCTGGTTTGACATCAACTGATAGGAAGTGCCTACAGAGGGTGGTGAATACAGCACAAGATATTATGGGCTGTCCCGTGAATCTGCTGGATGAAATAGCGGAAGAACGTTGCCTCAGGAGAGTGAGGAAAATTCTCAGGGATGATTCACACCCTGGCCGGCACTTTCTTGATCTCCTGCCCTGGGGCAGAAGATACAGAAGCATGATTAGTCGCACCAACAGGGTAAAGAACAGCTTCTATCCGGGGGCTGTTAGGCTGCTGAATGAAAAGAGAACAACAGGGCAACTGACTTTTGGGTTTGGTGGGTGTGCGTCAGTAAACGAGGGGAATTAAGACTAAGAGAGCTGACTGGGGGGTGCTCATGTAATCTCACTGTATACAAGTTGTACAAGTGACAATAAAGTATTTCAGTTTCAATTGTAGAGTTGGTAGGGACCCCAGGGTTAAACCACAGAGCCTAGGACTTGCTGATCAGAAGGTCGGTGGCTCGAATCCCTGCGACGGGGTGAGCTCCCGTTGCTCGGTCCTTGCTCCTGCCAACCTAGCAGTTCAAAAGCACCTCAAAGTGCAAGTAGATAAATAGGTACCACTCCAGCGGGAAGGTAAACGACGTTTCTGTGTGCTGCTCTGGTTCACCATAAGCGGCTTAGTCATGCTGGCCACATGACCCGGAAGCTGTACGCCGGCCCTCTCTGCCAATAAAGCGAGATGAGCGCCGCAACCCCAGAGTCGGCCACGACTTGACCTAACGGTCAGGGGTCCCTTTACCTTTACCAGGAGTCTAGTCCAACCCCCTGCAATGCAAGAATCTCAACAAAAGCATCCATGACAGATGGCCACCCAACCTCTGTTGGAAAACTCTCAAGGAAGGCGAGTACACCACCTTCAGAGGGAGTCCTGAGATCTGCAGCTTCTGCACTTGCTCCTTTGACCCAAAATCAGAGGTGACGGCATGGAATCGATTTTGCAGCTCCAGTGACACCACATGGCTCCTGACAGCTCAGCTTTGGTGCGTCATGTTCCTCCAGGGATTCATCTCCTGCAATGGGTGCTCCGCCTGCGTCGCTGTTCAATGGTGCACCCCGCCTGCATCGCTGTTCTAAGACACTCAACTCCGCTCTATTGAGAAATTCCTTATCTTGCTCGGTGGCTGCCAGGAATGAGCCAGTTCCCAGGTTTGCAGCCAGCACTTAGATGTTAGTCAGGCAGGGGAGAGCCGGCAGCTGCAGACTTCGGCTCTTCCTCACCTTGATGGGCAGGGTGATAAGGCAGTAGCTGAGAGCAGGCTAGAACACAGCCAGTGTTCTGAACTTGGTAACCACGGTTTCCCAGTTTGAACCTAACAGTGAATGAAAGTTAAATGAAGACTTCCTGGCTTATTGCAGCATGCAACTTGTCCTTTTTTCCTTAGTAGTCCAACTTTGTCCTTTTAAACTTAAGATGCCTTGCAAATTATGTTAACAGGAACATAATAGAAGTGCAAGCAGTGTACTGTAAAAGTATGCAAAATTTAATTTTATTTTTAAACAGCAGTGGGAGACTGTAACCTCAAATTTACTCTTCCAAGAAATGCCCCATCATAAACTGCAGTTGTTAAGCACCCATGTCAACACTTGGATGATCTTACACAGGCACAGGCAAACTCGGCCCTCCAGATGTTTTGGGACTACAACTCCCATCATCCCTAGCTAACAGGACCAGTGGTCAGGGATGATGGGAGTTGTAGTCCCAAAACATCTGGGGGGCCGGGTTTGCCTGTGCCTGATCTTACATCTGTGTTTAATAAGCCAGATATGAAGCAGCCTTTCGGTTTTGTACACAACTCCTTTGCTCTCTTTGTTGCACACCTGGATGCCAAACAGAGATTGCTAACTCACCATAGTTTCCTGTTTTGCTGAACCAGGAAACTATGGTGGGCAGTTTCTACACAAGCCAGGATCCTAAATCATCATTTATAAAGTTGGTTTTTGAATCATGGCTTGTTCCACAAGCTGTGAACACAGCCAAAGCTCGCAGGAAGCACAAAATGGAGTGAACAAACTCAAGAGACAGCCTCTCTGAAAAGGCAGAGGTTGGAGCTGATCCCAAAAGTCCACACAGTCGGCGAAGGGGAGGGCTGCTAGACAGGAAGCAAAACAAGACACGTAAGGTGCAAAAGTCCAATATATTCTGTAGACACCGGAAGGAGTCTTCAGAAGGGTCATCTTGAGTAATGATGCCGGGGGCTTTGTTAGAGCCGTCCAGAGCTATCTGTTTGGTTTTGCAATTAATCCTCATTCTTAATTACCTACACTTACTGCGATATCAAGCTGGGAACCAGGACTCCTAGATCAAGTTGCTATTCTTTCTTTTCTAGCAAGGCCACCAGCTTGCAAGTGTCGTTTTGCATGTTCTCAGGCAGGAAGTCAAACGTGACACAGGTGTTGCAGGTCATTGCCACAGCTCCATGTTTTTTGGTCCTACATGCACTGTGAGACAGCACTCACCCTCAAAATGCCCTTTCAAATGCCCCTGTTTACAAGTCCTGGTCAGGAACTTCCAGAGGCTGCAGCCAGCTAAATAGAACTCTTCCTTCAGCTCACTGCCAGGATTTCTTGTAATACACGCTGCCAGAAAAACCTGGATTATCGGGCAGCCCCACCAAATGTGGTAGAAACTTCCCCTCTTAATATGATCTCTCCCAGAGGTGTTGGATGGGTCACTATTCACTTGATTTGTCTTAACCGGTGTGAAGTGCTATCTATAAATTACTTCCAGTGTTGCTGCTCTGTCACAAGCTGGAATTGCTTTTAAGGGAGTTCTCAACCGGAGCGTTTTCCATTGCATGTCAGTTATGTGTTGCTTCAGATTATCTTCTCACTTTGCCGTCAAACCTAATAAGAGACTGTTTTTTTGTCTGCCACCAGAGTTTCATACAAGAGAGATATTGTGTCTTTCAGACTTTCATCTGTTTGGACACAGAAGGTTTCATAAACCGTCAGAGGTCAAAGGGCCTCTTAGGTTGAACAATGCTTGCGCCAAAAAGAATTGATTTCAGTCTCTTGAAAACTTGCAACTGAGTCTTGATTTGGTCTTTTGCCAAGCGACCCCCATTCCGGAAGAGACCCCCCACAGCTTCCACAATTTTCATTGATAAATCCATTCTTGCTCTGCATTAATATCTGGTTTTTTTTTAATCCTCGTGAAAATTTATATTTAAAATGTCTTATACAACAAAAATCAATATTTAGAATTTATTGGACTCCCGTACACTTGTTTAGAAAGGTGCTATCTACAAACACAAGCTGCTGGAGATATAATAAGGAGAGGTTTCTTTGAAACATATGTTTATGCAATGTTTGGCATAAAATTTTGTAGAAAAGTACTAAAATGCATAAATACTATTTTGGGGGGAAATCTAAAATGGCCAGATGATGATATTATTTTAATACTATAATAATATTATGGGGTTTGACAAAGGGTCAACATAAACGGACTCCTGCGCCCTTACTTATGCTAAAAGACTGGTATTAATTAATTGGAAAGTTAACACCATGGTTCCCTTTGATCACTGGATAGAAGATATGACAACTCTAGGAAAATTTGAACAGATTGCTTTTGGACACAGATTGTATATGGATAAATACAACATAAAAAGCATAATGTCTTGTTAATCATTTTACATTTATTGGACTAATTGTAACACTTATTTTTCCTTTCGCATCATTCACATTTCTTTCATGTGATTCCCCCCCCCCCCATATATATATATGCACACTGAGACCTCCAGTTATAGGGCGGTACTGTATATAAAATAAATAAATATGCATATATGCATCTTATGGCAAAATAATATTTGAATACATACCTTATTTCAAGGTATGTATTTCTCAAATACACATTTTTAAAATGTGTTTTGTTTCATTTTTTTCTAGCCACTACCTAACTTGCAAAATTCAGAGAAGTTCCGAATCTGAATGAGTGACATGACATGTAAATGCCCTGCAAACAAGCCAGAACGATTGCACAATATAGAGCAGAAACTGTAGAACCTCCCCACAAACTTTGTGCAAGCAAATCAAAGGCTCAATGCAAGTCATCTGGAAGCAACCTCAGGGGTGCAAATCACCTAAGAATGCAGACTGAATGAAATGCTCCTGTATTCTTACTTGAGAGTAAGCCCAGTTAGACTGCATGGGGCTTACATCAGCTTCGTTGGACTGGTCATGTTGTGCGGATGCCTGATGATCGTCTTCCAAAGCATCTGCTCTATTCTGAATGGTGTTATGTACTGAGTTGAATAGGATCCAAAAGGCAGCAGTCTGATTGGTCCTAGAACAATAGGGTCCAGAATGAAGCAGTCTGATTGTTCCACAGGAGCCACCCAATCCAGCTCCAGGTGGAAGTGAATCTGCAACCTGATTGGCCTACAGGTGAATCCCGGAATTAGCCAATCACGTGGGGCCCATTGTGTAAATAATGTTGCTCCTCACCACTATGGGCGGAATAAAGAGCATGAAATCCACTCTCAACTCCGAGCATATTCCACAAACTTAAAAATGGAAAGCGTCAACAAAAGAGGTTTAAAGGCTGTCTCAAGGCAAATCTTTAAAAATGTAGTATAAACACCGACAAGAAGAAGAGTTTGGATTTGATATCCCGCCTTTCACTCGCCTTCAGGAGTCTCAAAGCAGCTAACAATCTCCTTTCCCTTCCTCCCCCACAGCAAACACTCTGTGAGGTGAGTGGGGCTGAGAGACTTCAAAGAAGTGTGACTGGCCCAAGGTCACCCAGCAGCTGCAGGTGGAGGAGCGGAGATGCGAACCCGGTTCCCCAGATTACGAGACTACCGCTCTTAACCACTACACCACACTGGCTCTCTGACAACTGGGAAACACTTGCCTGTGAGCGCTCCAGTTGGAGAACAGCTTTTACCAAAGGTGTTATGGGCTTTGAAGACACTCGAACTCAGGACGTAAGGGAGAAACGTGCTAAGAGGAAGGCATGCTTGGCAAATCCACAGTGTGATCAGCTCCTGCCCCCTATGTCCCCACTGTGGAAAGACGTGCGGATCCAGCACTGGCCTCCACAGTCACTTACAGACTCGTTGTTAAAAACGTGTTTATGGAGGACAATCTTACTCGGCTACGAGGGATCGCCAAAGAAGACATCTGAGTAGACTTGCATAGGTTTGCACCGTTAGAGCAGCAGAAATTTAAACGGGTCAATAGAGCATTATAGCACCCAACGTTTTCACTCGCCACTTCTGAAATATAAACTTAAATTAGGTACAAGTGAAAAGAGACCGTTGCATATGTTAAAAGTAAATTATGACACTTGTAAAAACTTTACTGCATTAAGTAAAAGTAAATTATTGCCAAGGAGAGTTATATTTATGGCAATTTTTTTTTTAAGGCACCCACCCTATCATTTCTTCCTGAACACTTTTAATCTCTCATTTCCCATGTCGAAATTATGTTAAAAGGTATCACTTTCCTCTCTGAGGTTTTGAAAATAAATCACACCCTGATTTCATTATTATGGTCAAATCCTACAGCTGCCCTCGGTTCCACAATGATGGCTGTGCATGCTGAGTATCTCTGAATACCAATGTCCTGGCGCCCTGGACGAGGCACCTCGCCCCAACAAGTAGTAGTAATAATAATAATAATAAAAAAAATAATAATACTTTATTATTTATACCCCGCCCATCTGGCTGGGCTTCCCCAGCCACTCTCTGCGGCTTCCAACCAAATATTAAAATACAGTAATACATCAAACATTAAAACCTTCAGATGTTTTCTAAATATCAGCTAGTTGTTTATCTCTTTGATATCTGATGGGAGGGCGTTCCACAGGGCGGGCGCCACCACCAAGAAGGCCCTCTGTCTGGTTCCCTGTAGCCTCACTTCTCGCAATGAGGGAACCGCCAGAAGGCCCTCTGTGCTGGACCTCGGCGTCCGGGCAGAACGATGGGGGTGGAGACGCTCCTTTAGGTTTACAGGACCGAGGCCGTTTAGGGCTTTCAAGATCAGCACCAACACTTTGAATTGTGCTCGGAAACGTACTGGGAGCCAGTGTAGGTCTTTCAGGACCGGTGTTATGTGGTCTCGGCGGCCACTCCCAGTCACCAGTCTAGCTGCCGCATTCTGGATTAGTTGTAGTTTCCGGGTCACCTTCAAAGGTAGCCCCACGTAGAGCGCATTGCAGTAGTCCAAGCGGGAGATAGCCAGAGCATGCACCACTCTGGCGAGACAGTCTGTGGGCAGGGAGGGTCTCATCCTGCGCACCAGATGGAGCTGGTAGACAGCCGCCCTGGACACAGAATTGACCTGCGCCTCCATGGACAGCTGTGAGTCCAAAATGACTCCCAGGCTGCGCACCTGGTCCTTCAGGGACACACTCGCCCAATTCAAGACCAGGGAGACTACCCGCCCGCCTCCTGTCCCCCAAAAACAGTACTTCTGTCTTGTCAGGATTCAACCTCAATCCATTGGAAGGTACCCCCAAAAGCCATCTAGTCCACCCCCCTGGGAATCACAGCTGAAGAGTCCCCAAGAGATAGCCGTCCAACCTTTGCTCTGCTCCCGAGCCCCAAGCCCTTTCATCCTCATGTATACCAAAGTGATACTCTGGTCTAGGAGAATTAAGCGTGTGTCTAAGTTGGAAGCATGCTATGAAGATACTCCACACGACAACCAGAGCAGACGGGGCAGGTCTGTCCGCGCTGCCTCTTTACATGACCAACCGGCGTGATCCCATCTCATAAATCTCGGTGTGAGTCAATATTCCATATCCCGCTCCTCTACTCCTCCAACGAGCAGCCTACGAAGCTCAGGTGATATACAACCACTTCATAAAACCTTGGCCGTTTCCGATGAATAATCTGCAGCCGTACAAATGAGCATGATGTCATTTTGATTGCGGCGCTCTGCTTTGCCGACACCTCATGCTCCTTAGTCAGTGTCCTGCATCTTCTCAAGAAGGCCTAATTGTCAGCCAGCTGGTGGAGTAGAAGTGGAGGTGGAGATTTGGGAAAGGAGCAGGCCTGGCCAGGTATTCACATACAGTCCACATGGGAGAAGTTGCTGGTGTGAGGACCATCAACATAAAAACCTAAGAAGAACCATCTAGTCGAACATCCTGCATGCTCTTCAACTGTCCTGATTTACCGTAGTTTTTGCTCCATAAGACTCACCTGACCATAAGATGCACCTAGTTTTTAGAGGAGGAAAACAAGAAAAAAATATTCTGAACGAAACAGTGGATGTATGATTTTTGTGGTTCATGTTGTGGCCACAGACATGATATATGATTTGACAGTGAGTTTGGGGTAGCCCAATGCAAAAATTGTGAGAATCCATGTGGATCCGTGCTTTGTAACCACATTTTTGTGCCATTGCAGCCCCAGGAAACAGTGGATGCATGATTTTTTTTGGTGCAGGCTGTAGCCATGGACATGCTATGTGATCTGATGGTGAATTTGGGGTTCCTGAGGATCCATGGGCTTTTACCTCCCCCCTCCCAGACAGCCTCCTTTATTGCTAGCGTCCCTTATCTCCCTCCGATCGCTTGCTGATCAGCTGCTCAGCGGCTTTGTTTCAACACCCCCTTCCCTCTTTCTAAAAAAAAAAAAAGCACGATCTGCTTTTTGCCCCTGGGCAATTTGGCTCCAGGGACCACACATTCGCTCCATAAGATGCACAGACATTTCCCCTTACTTTTTAGGAGGGAAAAAGTGTGTCTTGTGGAGTGGAAAATATGGTAATTGGGACATTTCGCTTTTGAGGGCCCTGAAGGATGTGTGTTTTGGGGTGCTGTGCTCTTGCACGGGTCCACATCACATTCAAAGAGTGCAGCCCCAAAAATATGGTTACCAGACGTCCTCTTTTCCTGGGGACAGTCCCCAGATTTACAAATTTGTCCCCAGACAAAATCCGTCCCTGGAATGTCCCCGGATTTCATTTAATGTCCCCGGATTTATATTTTAAGTGTTGTAATAATAATAATAATATTAATAATAACAACAATAATAATTTATTATTTATACCCTGCCCATCTGGCTGGGTTTCCCCAGCCACTCTGGGCGGCTTCCAACTGAATATTAAAAACAGTACAGCATCAGACATTAAAAACTTCCCTAAAGATGGCTGCCTTCAGTTGTCTTTTAAAAGCAAAATAGTTGTTTATTGCTTTGACATTGTAGATTTATTAGCAGGGAATGATTGGTTCAACGGCACAACACACATCATATGGGGACTTCCGGCGAGGCAAAATGGCGGGCGCCACGGCAGCGAGCAGCTCCTGAAGCCAGCTAGAGCCAACTGCGCTACCAGGCTGGCTCCGGGCTGCTGAGACTGCCGCTGCCACTGCCTGGGGGAACTGGGGACGCCCGGCCCGTCAACTGGGGGAACCGCTGACACACACACCCCGCGACCCAAATTGAGCCGGGAGCGAGAGCGCCCGGGCGCCCAGCCAACTGCCCAGTGGCGCTCCGGGGCCAAGAAAACCCCGGAGCCGATGCAGGGAGAAGGAGGAGAGGAGAAGGAGAAGGAAGAGAGAGAAAGAGGAAGGAGAAAAAAAGGGGGGCCCTGACCTTGCCGCGCCACTGCCCGCGGCAGTTGAGAAAGAGAGTTAGGAGAGCACCAGGAGGGCAAGGACATGGGGCTGAGCCCAGGCCTGGCCCGAACCTACTCCGTGGCGGCTAGCGCTCCAAGAGAGCAGGCCAGGGCCCAGAGGAAGGCCACGCGACAGAGGAGACCACAGAAGAGAAGTTATTATTTTATTTAAAATAAAATAAAATTAAGAAGTAATAACTTTTTTCTTTTTTTAAAAAAATAATACAATTTTATTAATTTTTTAACCTATCAGTTCCAACAGTCATACAACATAACTTCTCATCTTATACAATGTTTTTAGACTTCTATCAATGATTGATTTTCTGTTCTTTATCGCTTATTATGCATTTCTTAATTTCTATATGACATTTAATTATCCTTAAATAATAATTCTCATTATCTTCCAGAAGGATATTCTGGATATCCTGCGCAATATCCTTCTGGAAGTGAGGCGACGAGTGCGAATTCCGTTGGCACGAACGGCGTTGTGCCCTCTGTTCATTATCGGTGTGTGTGTGTGTGTGTGTGTGCGCCCTTTGGACCAACTTTCTCGTGGACCCCGAATTATAGGTAGGCCTGGGGCCTGCTCATCTCCTTCCCCTGCCAGCCTCGCCTCCCTCCCTCGTTGTGCTTATCTGACGAAATCATCACATTTATGGCCAAATTGAAATGAAATGCAATTTAGTTCCCGTTCTTCTTTCCGTCCATCACCTCGCCGGCCAGTCCCAGAGGATCAGCTAACCTAATCGCCCGATGGCGGTAACTTCATTAGCGTTGCCCGTCACACCCCCCTCCCCACGTTTCTGCTGCGCAAAACCGTGGTTGATGCCCCTCAGTGGGAATTACTGGAAGGAAAGAGTTTGGGAGAATTTCTCTCTCTTTCTCTCTCTCTCTCTGGGATATCTGCCTGCTCAGCAGTTCCTTCTCTTTCCAAGAGCACGGCCTGTTATTACCTTTCTGGCAAATGCTCGTTTATTTACTATCATTTCTTTTTCTGCCACTGAGGGAATAAAAACAGCATTTCTTCCCGTCCTAAAAGGAGAAAGGAAGCCGGGGGAATCTGGAATGAAGAGACTGGATTTGAGAGCAAGGTCGGATCCACAGGACCAGGAGCTCATGGGGTTAATGTGGTCCCCATTTCTGTGCCTGTCCTACCCCAAAGAGCAGTCCCGTTTGCACTGCACATTTCATAGAATTGTAGAATTCGAAGGGACCCCACAGTCATCTAGTCAAACCCCCTGCAATGCAGGATTCTCAACTGAAGCATCCATGACAGGTGGCTGCCCTACCAATAGAAAGCAGGGTCATGCCACTTTCTTTGGCTTCCCCCAAAGAATCCTGGGAACTGTAGTTTGTTAAGGGGCTACCGTTGAAGGTGACCTGGAAACTACAACTAATCCAGAATGCGGCTGGTGACTGGGGGCGGCTGCCGAGACCACATTGCACCGGTCTTGAAAGACCTACATTGGTTCCCAGTATGTTTCCGAGCACCATTCAAGGTGTCGGTGCTGACCTTGAAAGCCCTAAACGGCCTCAGTCCAATATATCTGAAGGAGTGTCTCCACCCCCCTTGTTCAGCCCAGACACTGAGGTCCAGCTCTGAGGGCCTTCTGGCGGTTCCCTCACTGTGAGAAGCCAAGTTACAGGGAACCAGGCAGAGGGCCTTCTCAGTGGTGGTTCCCGCCCTGTGGAACGCCCTCCCACCAGATGTCAAAGAGATAAACAACTACGTGACATTTAGAAGACATCTGAAGGCCGCCCTGTTCAGGGAAGTTTTTAATGTATGACATATAAGTGCATTTTTGGTCTTTGTGGAAGCCACCCAGAGTGGCTGGGGAAACCCAGCCAGATGGGCAGGGTACAAATAATAAATTATTATTATTATTATTATTATTATTATTAGTGATGACAGTTGCTAAGAGACCCACGGTCCCTTCATAGAGCTACAATTCCCAGAGTTCCCCAGGAAGAGGGATTGAGTTGCAGATTCTGAGAGCTGCAGATGACGGCGATGGAACTGGGGGGAGAGAGGTCAACCCTTCCATGGTGCCTTTTTTCCCCTTTAGGACCCGTCCCTAGCTGTTATTTTCCACATTGAGAAAAACTAAAACAATCGCCAAAGAATTGATGCTTTTGAATTCTGGTGCTGGAGGAGACTCTTGAGAGTCCCATGGACTGCAAGAAGATCAAACGTCTCCATTCTGAAGGAAATCAGCCCTGAGTGCTCCCTGGAAGGACAAATCCTGAAGCTGAGGCTCCAATACTTCGGTCCCCTCATGAGAAGAGAAGACTCTCTGGAAAAGACCCTGATGCTGGGAAATATGGAGGGCACAAGGAGAAGGGGACACAGAGGATGAGATGATTGGACAGTGTTCTCGAAGCTACCAGCATGAGTTGGACCAAACTGCGGGAGGCAGTGGAAGACAGGAGGGCCTGGCGTGCTCTGGTCCAGGGGGTCATGAAGGGTCGGGGACGACTAATCGACTCAACAACAACAAAAATGAAATGTTGAGGCAATTTTCCCATAAAGGGCTGGAGTAATGGCTTCAGGAAGGCTACTGGGCAAACTGGCACGGGGGAAAGTGTTGAGTACTGCACCGCTGCTGCTATTTGCCGAAATGTAAAGAGACAGAAGATCTCATCGCAATCAACTCATCCAGTTTGGGCTGAAGAAACAGAGCTAGGGTAGTGTCAGGAATGAGCCAGCTCCAAGCAAAGGTTTGCAGCCAACTGCAGAAAGCAGCCAGGAACAGAGAGGCTTGGACGTTAGGCAGGGGAGAGTGGGCAGGTGCAAACTTCGGCTCTTCCTGACCTTTATGGGCAGGGGGATAAAGCAGTAGCTGAGAGCGGGCTAGAACACAGCCAAAGCTTGCATGAAGCGAACAGTCTCAGAGATAGCCTCTCAGAACGGGAAGAGGTTGGAGCAGAGCCACTAAATCTGAAGAGCCAGTGAATGGGAGGGCTGCTAGATAGGAAGCAAAACAAGAGACGTAAGGGTCGTAAGTTCAATATCTTCTGTCAACGCCGGAAGAAGTCTTCTGAAGGGTCATCTTGAGTAGCAATGCCAGACTGGACTTTGTTAGAGCCGTCCGGAGCTATATGTTTGTTTTTGCAGTAAATCCTCCTTTTTAATTACCTACACTTACTGTGAAGGACGCGGGTGGCGCTGTGGGTTAAACCACAGAGCCTAGGACTTGCTGATCAGAAGGTCAGCGGTTCGAATCCCCGCGACAGGGAGAGCTCCCATTGCTTGGTCCCTGCTCCTGCCAACCTAGCAGTTCAAAAGCACGTCAAAGTGCAAGTAGATAAACAGGTACCGCTCCGGCGGGAAGGTAAACGGCGTTTCCGTGTGCTGCTCTGGTTCGCCAGAAGTGGCTTAGTCATGCTAGCCACATGACCCGGAAGCTGTATTCCGTCTCCCTCGTCTAATAAAGCGAGATGAGCGCCGCAACTCCAGAGTCGGTCATGACTGGACCTAATGGTCAGGCGTCCCTTTACCTTTACCTTTACTGTGTTATCAAGCTGGGAACCTGGACAGGTGGATATTCTCTCAAAAAGCAACAGTGCACAAGAAAATGCTCTTCCTGCCCAGTTCCTGTTTTCTCACTGGTTCCGCCTCTCCTCCTGTGAACCCATGAACACACCCCACAGCTGCCATTTTGTGCCTGGTGCCCGCAGCAGTTTCTCCAAATCCCAAATGCGATCAGTGGCCCAGAAAGATTGCCAGCCCCTGTTGTAAAGATGTTGTGAATTCTGCCTCTGATGAAAGAGGTGGGGGCCACGGTTTACCCAGTTTTGCAGTTTTGCAGTCATTGCTTGGCTGGAGAAATGCGCTGGAGAATCTAAATTTTGAATGCTGACTTTTCTTCCCAGTTCTCGAATTTCTCCCGGCAGTGCGAATAAGGTGGGCCCACCTTTAACTGCGAACTGAAAGGACTGTCTCCACACACACCCCCATTCCCAGGACTCTGAAGGCAAAGGGAAGGCAGGCTGTCTTGCCTCGGCTGCCTTTCTCTGCTGGCGTGGGATTGATCCGCCTGCCAGCCGGCCATCTATCAGAAACGCCTCTCCCATTACTTGCCCTGATGGATTCTTATCTGATGGGCCGATCTGAAAGTGATAAAGAGAAAGGCGGCTGCATTTTCAACACGCTTGCTAACTCCGAAACCCGGCTCAATAATCCCACAGATTGATGGCCCCTCAACCGGAGGGAGGGGGAGTTTATGTACTACCCATGGCATTAGCTGAGCATAATTTCATCTGGATTACTGGAGGAGCAGGAAGTTGAAAGCGTGGAGAGACAGCACCTTTGGAAGAGCTGAAGGACCTGGACAGAGTTCTCTCCATCATGTGGATATTGGATATCATGGTCATCTTCAAATATCTGAAGGGTTGCCAGATGGAGGATGGAGCAAGCTTGTTTTCTGCTGCTCTAGAGGGTAGGACCTAAACCAATATAATAATAATAATAATAATAATAATAATAATAATAATAATAATTCAGGTCCTACTCTCTGGGGACGCGGGTGGTGCTGTGGGTTAAACCACAGAGCCTAGGACTTGCCGATCAGAAGGTCGGCGGTTCGAATCCCCACGACGGGGTGAGCTCCCGTTGCTCGGTCCCTGCTCCTGCCCACCTAGCAGTTCAAAAGCATGTCAAGTGCAAGTAGATAAATAGGTACCGCTTCAGCAGGAAGGTAAATGGCGTTTCCATGCGCTGCTCTGGTTCGCCAGAAGCGGCTTAGTCATGCTGGCCACATGACCCGGAAGCTGTACGCCGGCTCCCTCGGACAGTAAAGCGAGATGAGCGCCGCAACCCCAGAGTCAGCCACAACTGGACCTAATGGTCAGGGCTCCCTTTACCTTTAATTATTATTATTATTATTATTATTATTATTATTATTATTTATACCCCACCCTCCCCGGCCAGAGCCGGGCTCAGGGCGGCTAACACCAGTAAAATTACAGTAAAAACATAATGGGGGGGGGACCAATTTAAAATACAGGTTAAAATGCAATTTAAAATGCAGCCTCATTTTAAAAGTAGCCCATAGATCAAAACCATAAGAGGAGGGAAACGTAAGGGTCAGACTGAGTCCAAACCAAAGGGCAGGCAGAACAGCTCTGTCTTGCAGGCCCTGCGGAAAGATGTCAAATCCCGCAGGGCCCTGGTCTCTTGTGACAGAGCGTTCCACCAAGTCGGGGCCAGTGCTGAAAAGGCCCTGGCCCTAGTTGAGACCAATCTAACCACCTTGCCACTTGGGACCTCCAAAGTGTTGTCATGTGTGGACCTTAAGGTCCTCTGTGGAGCATACCAGGAGAGGTGGTCCTAGGCCGCATAGGGCTTTAAAGGTCAAAATCACACCTTAAACCTGACCCTGTACTCCACCAGGAGCCAGTGCAGCTGGTATAGCACCGGGTGAATGTGATCTCGCAGCGAGGACCCCGTAAGGAGTCTCGCCGCGGCATTCTGCACCCGCTGGAGTTTCTGGGTCAGCTTCAAGGGCAGCCCCGTGCAGAGCGAGTTACAATAATCAAGCCTGGAGGTGACCGTCGCGTGGATCACTGTGGCCAGATCAGGGCGAGAAAGGTAAGGGACCAACTGCTTAATACAGGAGGAAATGGAAAAATGCCACCTTTGCTGTGGCTGCAACCTGCGCCTCCCTGGAAAGGGAGGCGTCGAAGGTTACACCCAAGCTCTTCGACAGAAGGCGCTGGCACAAACCAACAGATTCAAATGACGGAAAAGGAGATTCCAGCTAAACGTTAGGAAGGACTTTGTTTGACAACAGAAAGGACCACCGGAGAAGGTGGGGTATTCTCTCTCCTTCCTTCCTTCCTTCCTTCCTTCCTTCCTTCCTTCCTTCCTTGTTTCTAATAATCGTTTTCATTTGATTTTACAAATATAAATGTATAACAAAACCAAGTACATATCCATATAGAGAGATTTCTCTGAATCTCAAAGCTTCCCTCCATCCCCTCCATGGATCCTATTGTCCATGTTTTCAACTGTGTATATTGTCTCCCTGTTTATTTAACTTATCTGCAGAATTCATCATGCGAAAGGCTGGGCTGGATGAATCCCAAGCTGGAATTAAGATTGCCAGAAGAAATATCAACAACCTCAGATATGCAGATGACACAACCTTGATGGCAGAAAGTGAGGAGGAATTAAAGAAACTTTTAATGAGGGTGAAAGAGGAGAGTGCAAAATATGGTCTGAAGCTCAACATCAAAAAAACGAAGATCATGGCTACTGGTCGCATCACCTCCTTGCAAATAGAAGGGGAAGAAATGGAGGCAGTGAGAGATTTTACTTTCTTGGGCTCCATGATCACTGCAGATGGTGACAGCAGCCACGAAATTAAAAGACGCCTGCTTCTTGGGAGAAAAGCAATGACAAACCTAGACAGCATCTCAAAAAGCAGAGACATCCCCTAGCCAACAAAGGTCCGTATAGTTAACTTCCGGGTCAGCGCCATCGGTGAATGGCGGAGTTCCTCCGTCCGGAGGAATGGGCTCCGTGGAAACTGGGTGTCAGGGGTTCTGGGACAGAGGCACAGGGTAGGCAGGAGATGGAGAGCGATGGGGATGAATCCCAGGACAGCGAGGAAGAGGATGACAATGACTCAAGAGATTCCATGAGTCTTTCCAGCGAATCAGAGGATTCCCAGAAGGGGCGCCGGTGGTCAAGCCCAGGGAGCCCCAGGGGGGAAGTGTCAGGAGCAGGGGGCCAGCTGGGCATCCCAAAGTGGCAGCTGGGTGTCAGGACCAGCCTCCCCGCCAGAGTGCAGCGAAGGGGGTGGAGGTTTCAGTGTGTCAGGGGAAGCGGCTCCGGCAGCAGAGAAAGGAGGGAGGTCGGAGCAAGCCATCCTCCCGGAAGGGGAGGGGAGCAGTGAAGGGAGTAGTGTAGCTGTTGAAAGGAAGGTTAGAGGCTGGGCGTGCGCGCCAAGTTCAAATGTAGAGGCGCGTGGAAGTACAGGGAGCCCGGAGGAGGGGCCAGGTCCCAAAGCCCGCAGGAGGGGGCAAGAGCAGTCTGATTCCGCATCAGAGGAATCTAGGAGGGGCGAAACCCCAGCGGGCAGAAGGACCCTGCGGAAAAGGAAAGAGAGAAAGAGGTGGGGCAGCGTAAGCCTCTTAAATTGGTGCAGGGGAGGGACGGATTCAGAGGGGACTTCAGCGGTCTAAGCGTAGCAGACGTAGGGCTGCGCGCCTAGGATGTCAAGCAAACAATGAACTGCAATAAACACTTTTGTATATAAGAAGACATAGGCGTTGGTCTTTTGTGAGCTGAGACTTGAGGCAGCCCTGACACTGGGTCTTCCCGCCACGGCGAAGGTGGGGACCCACTAGAAATCCCAGGCGGAGGAAGCCTGGGAACGTGGGGTTCGGCAGGGCACCAGGAGCGCCCCCCTACTCGCAGGGAATCCCATTTAGGGGCTCCGGAGCGAAGTGGGGTGAGAAGCGCGGTGCTGCGAACTGACTGCTACTTTCACGGAGTGAAGCTGCACAGCCATTGCCGGAGAGCGCTGACTTTTTCCTGTGGTCAATTGGATTTAAAACAAGTACCTGTGAGTAGAAACGGAAAATTGGATTAAGAAATTTCTTAATTTGGTATCGAAGCGGGAAGGTTCAAAACAGGAAGTCCGCCTTCCGCTTTTTGTATATAGACTAAAGCAAAAACTTTGTAAGCTAAAGCCTGGAAAGCTGTAAAAAAAGTCTAAATTTCCTTCATTCAAAATTACTGAAACCCCCTTGGAAGCAGGAGAAAAGGGGGGGGGGGACTTTGTTCAACCCTAGCAGGAGAGGGAATGAAGAAGGATAAGTTTCCACCGTCTCTAACCTGGGAACGGGGTGTCAGAGACAGAAATTGTTGGAGAGGTTCATTGACTGTGAATGGAATATTTTGACAGATAGCTAAAGAAGAGAAACAAGCTGATTCCAATGTTGCCTTTTGCATCTTAAAGAAACAAAATATCTGAAAAATATCTGAAAAACGAAAGTAATTTTCCTTTGCTGGACTTGCCTAAAAAAATGGATACAAATAGAAATTGCCTCTTCTAGAGGGAGCTTGTCAAATTGTTGCTGCAGTACATTTGAGGGCTCAACAGATGTGAGATTAAGACCGGGGGACAGGCTTTTTTGACCTTGACTAAAGATGAGCTGGGAGGAAGACTGGGTGCTTGCCTTATGCAAGACAAGTGCCCTGCTGGAACAGATGCATGAGAAGATGGACTTGATGAATGAGAAAATGGATTTGACTGTTGTGGTTAATAACTGTGGGCAAATAGGGAATATTGATACAGAAATTATTCAGGGACCAACTCATGAATCTGTACTGACTGGGCAAGTGCAGAAGATAATGGAGGAGGATGCGGTTACAACCCAAATAATACAAATGGAGAGTCCCGAGGCCCTATAGGTGTATGAGCCGCTGTCATTGAAGATTGAAGTTGGAGTGGGCCAGGGGGAGTCTGGAGTTGAGGAGGTTCCCAACGTTGGAGAGACCTTGGAATATGCTTTTAAATACTTTTTGGACTATATTGAGGACTGTGGGGAGTGGAACTGTGGGGAATGGGCGGGCTTGATGAAGGGAGATGGAGACAATTCTGGCTTGGAGCCCCCCAGAGGCCTACCCCTCAATGAGAAAGGAAAGAAACTAAGAAAGAGACCAACAAAAGACAAGGAAAGGGGCAAGTATAAACAAGAAGAAGAAGAACTGCAGAAGGGACATGGAAGAGACTTAAGGGCCTCGGACATAAGGCTTTCAGGTTGATGGACTAGATGGAATGGACAGTAAGGACTGACACGATCCGAGACCAGGAAGAAGGGACGTTGGATGAAGATTGGAAGAAAATTTATAAAGAAAATTTTCTATTTGGGGAATTGGCTAAAAATTAATGAATATTAGGGAAAATGTTGGAATGAAACTATATGACTTTAGCAGAAATGATATCAGGAGTAATGTATACTTGAAAACTAAGATTCAAGCTTTAAGGTGTTTTAGGGTAAGATAAGGTTAAATTAATTAAGGTAATGTGAATAATAGAATATGGGGAAAGATGGAAAGGATTTGTTGAGTTAATTATTAGATTAAATTAGGTTAGGATAAATTTTTTAACAAAAACTGAGAAAGATGGAAAGAATTTGCTGAAATAACTAATTAAACTAGAATACAAAAAGGGAGGTGTGAGGAAGTCAATGAAACAAGCAAATGGAAGTTTTAGATATGTAATTTGGGATTTGTGTTGTTTTCTTTTTTCTTTTTATCTTTTTGTTGTATTGTTGTATTGGTTTTTGTGTTTTTTCTTTTCTTTTTGTCTATTATAGTGTTGTTTTTAAATGTTTTTTTCTTCTTCTTATAATTCTGAAAATTACTAATAAATATTATTTTAAAACAAAGGTCCGTATAGTTAAAGCTATGGTTTTCCCAGTAGTGATGTATGGAAGTGAGAGAAGGACCATAAAGAAGGCTGATTGCTGAAGAATTGATGCTTTTGAATTCTGGTGCTGGAGGAGACTCTTGAGAGTCCCATGGACTGCAAGAAGATCCAACCTATCCATTCTTAAGGAAATCAGCCCTGAGTGCTCACTGGAAGAACAGATCGTGAAGCTGAGGCTCCAAGATTTTGGCCACCTCATGAGAAGAGAAGACTCCCTGGAAAAGACCCTGATGTTGGGAAAGATGGAGGGCACGAGGAGAAGGGGATGACAGAGGACGAGATGGTTGGATAGTGTTCTCGAAGCTACGAACATCAGTTTCATCAAACTGCGGGATGCAGTGGAAGACAGGAGGGCCTGGCGTGCTCTGGTCACGAAGAATCGGACACGACTAAATGACTAAACAACAACAACAACAATATATTTTATATCTATCCATATTTTCCATAGATTCGGGTAGGTAGCCATGTTGGTCTGACACAGTCAATTGTCCAGTAGCATTTTAGAGACCAACTAAGTTTGTTCTGGGTATAAGCTTTTGTGTGCAGGCACACTTTTTCAGATACTCTGAAACAGAAGTCACCAGACCCTTATATATAGTGGGAGGGTGAGGTGGGGGTTTTCTGAGAAGGGTAGTAGGAGATGGGTGATTGACTCAATGGGTATGGTAAACCTTTTGATGACTGTTAATGACTGCAATTAGTCCTACAGGAAAAAGCATGGGATCATATGCAGATGACCAAAAATAGCTTTTGCATGTGTAATGAGACAAGAATCCAATATCTCTATTCAGACCAAGTCTCTCCATAGTTTTCAGTTTAGTAATAAGTTATAATTCAGCAACTTCTCTTTTGTTTTTTTATTTATATTGTCCATAGTATTTGTTACATTACAAATGAGATTAAAATCCTGCTAATGTTTTCATCTGCTTACAGTGGTCTCCTAAGTAAATTATAATCCCCGCCCCCCATTCTTTCTTGAAGTTTTTGAATTCTTGGTCCCTGAGCTTTCCGGTCAGTTTTGCCATTTCGGAGTAGTCTTAACAGCTTGGTTTGCCATTCCTCTCTGGTAGGGACTTTGTCTTCTTTCCATCTCTGGGATAATAGCATTCGTGCGGCTGTTGTCTCATACATGAAGAGTATTTTTCTGTTCCTTTGGGATGTCGGTACCTACAATTCCTAATAAGAAGGCTTCTGTTTTGTTTTTTACAAAAGTTATTTTAAACATTTTTTCCAGTTCATTATATATCAGTTCCCAGAAAGCCTTTAATACCTTATAAGTCTACCACATATACAGTATTTTTCGCCCTATAGGACGCACCATCCCATAAGGCGCACCTAGTTTTTTGGGGGGGAAATAAAGGGGGGAAAATTATTTCCCCCCCCAGGCGTGGGGCTGGGGTGGGGGTAGCCCGAGCTTCCCCCGACCCCAGCCCCCAGAACAGGCAACTCTCCGCAAGCCGTGGGAGCCCGGTGCCGGGCTCCCGCGCCTTGCGGAGAGCCGCGCGAAGCCTGGAGAGCAAGAGGGGTCGGTGCGCACCGACCCCTCTCGCTCCCCAGGCTTCAGCGAAAGCCTGCATTCGCCGCAAAGGACGCACACACTTTCCCCCTTTATTTTTGGAGGGGGGAAAGTGCGTCCTATGGGGCGAAAAATACGGTAATAAAATGTACCCTCTTTTTCTTTACATTTCCAGCAAGTATTTGTACTTGTTCTACACATTTTTGCTAGCTTACTGGCTTCTCCTGCCTTGGAGGTTTATAAGCAGAGGTTGAGTGGCCGTCTGTCGGGCATCCATCAGTTGTGATTCCTGCTTTAATAATAATAATAAATTTTTATTTATACCCCGCCCTTCCCGGTTCAAAAACCGGGCTCAGGGTGGCTAACAATAAATTTAAAACACGTAATTATAAAAGCAGCATAAAATACAGTATAAAAACATGAATAACAATAAAATTCAAAAATCAATTTAAAGGAAATAAGCATTTCCCCTCAGGGCTAGCTGGCTAAATTGGTCCTACCTGGGCCAGCGAGGAGACCAGGGGAGAATTAGCTGTGGGGTCTCAGAGCGGGTGATCTTCATAAAAGGGGAGGGGGAGGGAAGAGAAGGGAAATGAAAGATCAGGCTGAATTCAAATTAAGGACAGGCGGAATAGCTCTGTCTTACCGGCCCAACGGAAGGAGGTTAAATCTTGAAGGGCCCTAGTCTCGTGGGACAGAGCATTCCACCAGGTCGGAGCCATCACTGAGAAGGCCCTGGCCCTGGTGAAGGATAGTCTGACTTCCTTAGGGCCCGGGACCTCTAAACTATGGTTATTCATGGACGTTAAGGTTCTCTGCAGGGCAGACCAGGAGAGGCGGTCCCGTAACTACGAGGGCCCTAAGTCGGGGGTTGGGCTAGATGACCTTTGGGGGATATGGAGGGTATGGCGTTATCCAACCCCCGAGCCAGGGAGATAAGTAACTATACAATCTCTAGAAGACATCTGAAGGCGGCCCTGTGTAGGGAAGCTTTTTAATGTATAATGTTTTATAGGCTGGAAGCCGCCCAGAGTGTCTGAGGCAATCCAGTCAAATGGGTGCAATAATAATAATAATAATAATAATAATAATAATAATAATAATATAGGACACCCCTATTTTCACTGGAGAAATTTTGGAGGGTTTGCAGCAGCATTTCTAAGGGGGAATGTTGCATAATATTTTGGAGGGACAATTTCAAAGGGAGGTTAGAGTTGCCCTGAATTTATTTCGCTGTGCTGAAATCAGCGGTTGCCTCCTTCGTCCGGGAAGCACTTGCTCCTCGACAGGAAACGCCATTTTGTGGCGTTTGTCATCTGAGGGCAGCTTTCTTAGGTCTGCTGGGGTCGCCCGCCGGTGTGGGGAGAGCCAGCCTCAGTTAGGTACGGCCTCTAATCTATCGCTTCTGTAATTGGGGTTAATTAGTGGAGGCTAAATTTATCTCCCCTCCTCCCATTAATCCCGGGAACAAAAAGAGCACTTGCGTGGCAATCAATCGCCGTTCAATTACCCCACAATGGACTCCCCACTGGAGAAAGAAGCTGTCGGGTCTTGACGGGTTCAAGAGGAGACGGAGAGAAAATGGGAGAGGGAGAGGCAGCCGAGGATTTGAGCTGAACTCCCGATTCTTTTTAAAGCAGGAGCGAGGATGAATGCGGCCCTCCAATGCCTCTCTGTTCGGCCCCTGAGACTGTCATTAGGCCATGCCTCCTCCCAAGGTCAACCCCCTCCCTGGCCTTGTTCTGAACCCTCCTTGAGTGCATTTTAATAGGGATGCGGGTAGCGCTGTGGGTTAAACCACAGAGTCTAGGGCTTGCCGATCAGAAGGTCGGCGGTTCGAATCCCCGCAACGGGGTGAGCTCCCATTCCTCGGTCCCTGCTCCTGCCAACCTAGCAGTTTGAAAGCACGTCAAAGTGCAAGTAGATAAATAGGTACCGCTCTGGCAGGAAGGTAAACAGCATTTCCAGAGCTGTTTTTTAAGAGCTTAAAAAACGGCGTTTTTTAAGAGCTACTCGACAGTGGAATTTGCTGCCAAGGAGTGTGGTGGAGTCTCCTTCTTTGGAGGTCTTTAAGCAGAGGCTTGACAACCATATGTCAGGAGTGCTCTGATGGTGTTTCCTGCTTGGCAGGGGGTTGGACTCAATGGCCCTTGTGGTCTCTTCCAACTCTATGATTCTATGATTTTATGATTCTATGATTCCATGCGCTGCTCTGGTTCGCCAGAAGCGGCTTAGTCCTGCTGGCCACATGACTCGGAAGCCAGTGGCGTAGCGTGGGGAGTGCAGGGGGGGCCGGCCGCACCGGGCGCAACATCGGGGGGGCGCGCTCGCACTCGCAGCTCTCTGCCCCTACCTGGCTCACTCACTCTCTCTCTCTCACTGCAGTGCTGGCTGTGTGAATCCAATCCGAACCGCACTGTGGAGGGGGTGGGTGCCAGGCGTGCGGTGCGGAGAGAGAGTTAGGGACTATCTGGGGGAGGGACAGTGCAGCGGCCGCCCAGCGTAGCGCTGAGCGCGGGAGAGAACCACACCAGACCAGACCAGGCAGCAGCAAGAAGAAGCTGGCAGCGGCGGCAGGTTACGGGTTAGGGGGCGCAAATTACTTGTCTTGCTCCGGGTTAGGGGGTGCAAATTACTTGCCTTGCCCCGGGTGCTGACAACCCACGCTACGCCGCTGTCGGAAGCTGTACGCCGGCTCCCTCGGCCAATAAAGCGAGATGAGCGCCGCAACCCCAGAGTCGGCCGCGACTGGACCTAATGGTCAGGGGTCCCTTTACCTTTACCCCCCCTTCCGTCCCTAGTAATTTACCTCCCTCCTACGTCTTGTAATCTGAGTTTGTAGCCTCTGCGCTTTCTGTTCTAACACTTTCTGAGCTCTCCGTGTCTTTGGAGACGGGTGTGTGTGTGTGAATGCTGTCCAGAGACTATTAAACTGTTCAGTTTCTCTCTTCTAGTGTTTCTTCTGCTAGCTGTTCCCCATCCAGTATTTCCCAGCTTCTGCCTTATGAACTATGCCCCTCTGCAAACCACTGTTCGAAATCTATACTGTATGTTTCCGAGCACAATTCAAAGTGTTGGTGCTGACCTTTAAAGTCCTAAACGGCCTCAAAGGCCCAGTATACCTGAAGGAGCATCTCCACCTCCATCGTTCTGCCCGGACACTGAGGTCCAGCTCCGAGGGCCCTCTGGCGGTTCCCTCACTGCGAGAAGCAAAGCTACAGGGAACCAGGCAGAGGGCCTTCTTGGTGGTGGCTCCCGCCCTGTGGAACGCCCTCCCATCAGATGACATTCAGAAGACATCTTAAGGCAGCCCTGTTCAGGGAAGTTTTTAATGTGTGATATTTTAGTGTATTTTTGGTTTCTGTGGAAGCCGCCCAGAGGGGCTGGGGAAACCCAGCCAGATGGGCGGGGTACAAATAAATTATTATTATTATTATTATTATTATTATTATTATTATTATTACCTCCATCTTTGTGCAAGAAGGTGCCTGTTATGTACTGAGTTGAATAGGATCCAAAATGCAGCAGTCTGATTGGTCCTAGAACAATAGGATTCAGAATGCAGCAGTCTGATTGGTCCTAGAACAATGCAGCACTATGATTGGTCTGCAGGAGCCAGCCAATCCAGCTCCAGATGGAAGTGAATCCACAACCTGATTGGCCTACAGGAGAATTCCGGAATTAGCCAATCACATGCAGCCCATTGTGTAAATAATGTATATAAGCAGATACTTTGGGGAAACTTTCATTCCTCCTCACCACTATGAGATGAATAAAGAGCAAGAAATCCACTCTTGACTCTGCGTATATTTCAGTGCCATTGCAGAAGTGCCCATCCTTTCCTCCCCACGTCAACGACAGCAGCGGTGGTTCCTGGTCTTTCACCTCGGGTGACTCATTGACTCCCGGATGGCTGCTGAGGTCACCATGGTCCTGGCCAGAGCTCTGGAGGCAGATCTCTGTGGCTAATGCGCTAATCTGCTCTCTTTTCAGCCCCCAGGAAAGGCACCGTCCGGAGGGTCCCCGCTCGGATGGGGCAGGATGGTGCTGGGCAGCCGCAAAGCAAACTCTCCCACGTCTCCATTCTTTCCACCTTATTGGCCATTGATTTTAGATAAGGATCAGGCCGGGCTCGGTGGAGCTCAGCTCTCCGGATGACGACCGTATTGGCGTGGGATCTTTGGATGCCTGGAGGGTCTGTCAGAGATGGACAAGGCCCTTTAGCACTGAGGGAAATGAGACTGGAATGGAGGGGGAAGAAGAGAGCATGTTTGTGTGTGTGTTGCAAAACAATGGAAGGCATTTAAAGAAAACCAGTCCGCTGTGTAAGCCACTGCTGATTTGCTATGTAGGAAAAGTTGCATGGAAAATAACAATTGCTACAAGTTTCCCCAATGGGGTGGGGCACCTCAAGGTCAAATGTGGACCCCCAGTCTTCTCTAGCTGGCCCCCGGTGCCCCTCAGGCCACACCAATTCCTCAGCCATGCCCCTTCTTCAGAGGGCGCCTGTGTTAATGCCCATGCTTCGCATTTTCCTCGATTGGAGAGAGCAGCTAGGGAAAAGTTTCTGCCCGTCTCTTATCACACTAGAATTGGCGAGCACGAAGCTGGATGCTGGAAGATTCAGGAGAGAGAAAAGAAAGTCCTTTGTCACACAGCGCACGGTTAAACTTTGGAACTCGCTGCCACAAGACGCAGCGATGACCACAAAATTGGGTGGCTTTCAAAGAGGATTTTTAAAAAATCACAGAGAAGGAGAGGGCTAATGATGGCTATTAGCCACAGCGGCTATGTTCAGGCATTAATGCTTCTGAATACAAGTTTTCCTTTTCTTTTTGAAAGCCCTCATGAAGCATGTGCCCCAACTACAGTTGAACCTCTTTCCCTGCTTTCGGAGTGAAGAACTGATGGGATACTGTTCGACTCAGTTGCAACCAGGTCTCTAAGAGGCGAGTGGTTGTTGTGCCAAATGCTTGAAGAAGAGAACTCCTAACCTTTTCAGGAAAGACCTTAAAGTGTGAGGGGAAATGAGAATGGGGTTGGCAAGCAGAACAAGCAGGGCTTGTTAATAATAATACCTATTATTTGTCTCCAAGATCATATGTCTTCTGACAACATACACAGCACTTGTGCATTTTGTAAGGCGAAAATTTCGTGAACTGTATGTCTGAATAAATCTTGCCGATCCCAGTAAGGTAAAGGGACCCCTGACCATTAGGTCCAGTCATGACTGACTCTGGGGTTGTGGCACTCATCTCGCTTTACTGGCCAAGGGAGCCGGTGTACAGCTTCCGGGTCATGTGGCCAGCATGACTAAGCCACTTCTGGCGAACCAGAGCAGCGCACGGAAACGCCGTTTAGCTTCCCACCGGAGCAGTACCTATTTATCTACTTGCACTTTGATGTGCTTTTGAACTGCTAGGTGGGAGGAGCAGGGACTGAGCAACGGGAGCTCACCCCATCATTGCGGGGATTCGAACCGCCGACCTTCTGATCGGCAAGTCCTAGGCTCTGTGGTTTAACCCACAGCGCCACCCGCGTCCCAGTAGCTAAGCCTATAAAGCAGAGCTCTCCAGAGAGGCCTGTTGCAACCTTGCAATGCCTTCACCCTCAAGACCGCGGCAGAGCAGGCGGGCGGGAGGAGGCAAACTCCGGAGGGGTTAATTTCCATAGGCAAGGAAGCGAGAGAGGCAGGCCGTTTTCCAGCTGGCTGGCTGTGCGCAGCCCACTGAGCTGTCATTTAACCTGCATTGTGAAGAAGGGTCAGGCAGGACATTGCTGGGTCAGGCTGCTTAGAGAGAGGAGCCTGTTAGCTGACTCACATCCTGCCCTGAATGTCTCTGTATTGTCAGAGGCTCGGGTGAGCACAGTGTCTGGAGATAACAGCCATTTCTGGGTAAGAGAAAGAGACAGAGGCAGCAATAGGACGCTCAACATACCTAAGAAGGGTTATGCTATTACTATTATTATTATTATTATTTATTAAATCTATTAGTTGCCTTATCTTAAGGCAACCGAAATGATTTACAGCCAGACAAATAGACACATAGACCCCACAAACCAAGATGGAAGATCATATCCCACCAAATTATTTATGCATTTATCGTTATTTGTTATTTCCATCACCCAGCTATCTGAACTATTGATCTATCATTTGTCCGCAGGATGAGGCCTCCTCTGATTGGGGATGCATTTGGCAGCTTACCAAGCAAATGGCAACAGCCGGTGGATTGAGCTCTTTCCACATACCGCCACCGGATTGAATGGCTGTTCCTCGCTACCACTGCTGCTCTCTTTATTTTTACTTGTTGGTTTTATACCTTTTGATACGAGCTGCATTGAGTGGGCTGTGCCCACCATGGTGGACTAGAAATACTTCTCTAAATGAGGAGAAGCACTTTCTTCTTTGCTGATTGCCTCTATATCTGAGTTGGTGTAAGCTTAATTTAACAATTTCCTCTCTCTGTCTGTATAATAATAATAATAATAATAATAATAATAATAATAATAATAATTTATTATTTATACCCCGCTCATCTGGCTGGGTTTCCCCAGCCACTCTGGGTGGCTTCCAACAGAACACTTAAATACAATAACCCATTAAACACATTAAAAGCTTCCCTAAACAGGGCTGCCTTCAGATGTCTTTTAAAAGTCTGGTAGTTGCTATTCTCTTTGACATCTGGTGGGAGGGCGTTCCACAGGGCGGGCGCCACTACCTGCCTGGTTCCCTGTAACTTGGCTTCTCGCAGTGAGGGATCCGCCAGAAGGCCCTCGGCGCTGGACCTCTGTGTCCGGGCTGGACGATGGGGGTGGAGACGCTCCTTCAGGTCTACTAGGCAGAGGCTGTTTAGGGCTTTCAAGGTCAGCACCAACACTTTGAATTGTGCTCAGAAACTGGGAGCCAATGTAGGTCTTTCAAGACTGGTGTTATGTCTTGGCGGCCGCTCCCAGTTACCAGTCTAGCTGCCGCATTCTGGATTAGTTGTAGTTTCTGGGTCACCTTCAAAGGCAGCCCCACATCGAGCACATTGCAGTATTCCAAGCGGGAGATAACCAGAGCATGCACCACTCTGGCGAGGCAGTCTGCGGGCAGGTAGGGTCTCATCCTGCGTACCAGATGGAGCTGATAAACAGCTGCCCTGGACACAGAATTGACCTGCGCCTCCATGGACAGCTGTGAGTCCAAAATGACTCCCAGGCTGCGCACCTGGTCCTTCAGGGGCACAGTTACCCCATTCAGGACCAGGGAGTCCTACACACCCGCCCACCTCCTGTCCTTCCAAAAACAGTACTTCTGTCTTGTCAGGATTCAACCTCAATCTGTTAGCTGCCATCCATCCTCCAACTGCCTCCAGACACTCACACAGGACCTTCACCGCCTTCACTGGTTCTGATTTGAAAGAGAGGTAGAGCTGTATAACCATCAGTTGCTTGTTCAGTTCTTTTCTGGGTAGGTGAGGGGCAAAGGCAGCTTCTCCAAAGGGGTCCTCCTCTTCTTCTCCCTCAAGAGGAGGAAGAGACCCAGGCCCGGGTTTGCAGACTGCTGATTCAGCATCGTGCCCAAGGCGGTGCCTTGATTTACACACCGTCGGGTGTCCTCCCCCCGTCTGCCTCCGCCAGCAAGACTTTGACGCTGGTGGAAGGAGTGGCAAATCCTTCACCCTAATGTTAGTTGAGTTTTAGCCCTCGCCTCAAGCGCTGCCATTTATCTCCCGGCTCCCGAGTTGCGAGGCGAAGAGCGGAGTTCATAAATCAGCTCGCCCGTCAGCAGGCATCAGGGCCGTAAATAAAGGGGAGCTGTCAAGAGGCAGCTGAAAGCAGACAGCTCCTTCGGGAAGGCCAGATTGGGGTTGGTACCTTCACCCAGTACGAAGACCTGAGGAGCCTCCTTCCTCTAAAGGGACCTGCCTTTCACTTGAGACAAGTGTCACCTTGGCTGAGAGTGCCACAGGGCTGGGCCCATGACACGAAAGGCTCAGTTTCTGGCTGTTGTCAGCTGAGCCTCACCAACTTGAGGAACGGCCAGATATGCTCCTGCAGGTAATCTCAGTGATGGAGCTGGGATATAAGGGTGATAGAATCAGAGAACTGAAGAGTTGGAAGGGACCCCAAGGGCTCATCTAGTCCAACCCCTTGCAATGCAGGAAACTCCACTAATAATAATAATAATGACAATAATAATAATAATAAATTTTATTTATACCCCGCCCTCCCCAGCCAAGACCAGGCTCAGTGCGGCTAACACCAGGTATAAAAACAATCAATTAAAATACAACTTAAAAACAAGATTAAAATACAACGTTAAAATGCAGCCTCATTTCAGTAGAAACTCAAATCGAAAACATTTTGGGGATGAAAACGTCAAGTCTTCACCAAGGCCAGCTATCCAGACTGGTCCTACGTGGGCCAGAAAAAGCCAGGGAAGTCCCCAAATAGGAGTTCCATCACAGAAGGAGAAAGGAAAAACAAAAGAGGGGAAGGGGATCAAGTTGATTCCAAGCCAGAGGCCAGGCGGAACAACTCTGTCTTACAGGCCCTGCGGAAAGAAATCAGATCCTGCAGGGCCCTGGTCTCATGATACAGAGCGTTCCACCAGGCCGGAGCCATCACTGAAAAGGCCCTGGCTCTGGTTGAGGCTAATCTGACTTCCTTAGGGCCCGGGACCTCGAGGGTGTTGCTATTTAGGGACCTTAAAGTCCTCTGTGGGGCAGACCGGGAGAGGCGGTCCCGTAGGTACGAGGGTCCTAAAGCATCTTTGACAGATGACCATCCAAACTCCACTTAAAAACCCCAAAGGAAGGAGAGTCGACAACCTCCCGAGGGAGACTTTTCCACTGTCCAGCAGAAAGATCTTCCTGATGTTTAGTCAGAATCTTCTATCTTGCAACTTGAAGCCATTGGTTCAGGTCCTTGCTTCCAAAGCAGTAGATAACAAGCTTTTCCCCTCTTCTGTGTGACAGGCCTTTAGATACTTGAAGATGGCTGCCACATCTCCTCTCAGGCTCCTCTTTTCCCACACGCAGCTCCTTCAACCGTTCCTCATAAGGCTTCCTTTCCAGATCCTTGGCTATCTTGGTCGCCCTCCTTTGTACCCGTTGTGAGGGGAGGCAGCCACTGAGGTTCCCCGGATCTAAGTTGTTCAAGAATTTGTAAATCAATACATGAACCCTAAACATGGCTCAGTAGCAGCTGGGCAGCTGGTGGAGAGGAACCACCCTGAGATCTTTGGTTGAAAGGCAGTTGTTGTTGTTTAGTCGTTTAGTCTTGTCCGACTCTTCGTGACCCCATGGACCAGAGCATTCCAGGCCCTCCTGTCTTCCACTGCATCTACAATACTGTCTTGTTTATTTTATAGTACAATACATTGATTATGGCCTTCATTTTATGGATCTATGGTCTCGTTAGACAGTAAAATCCGTGTTAAATTGTTGTTTTAGGCTGTGTTTTTCATCATCTGTTGTTGTTGTTTAGTCGTTTAGTTGTGTCTGACTCTTTGTGACCCCCTGGACCAGAGCACGCCAGGCACTCCTGTCTTCCACTGCCTCCCGCAGTTTGGTCAAACTCATGCTGGTAGCTTCGAGAACACTGTCCCACCATCTCATCCTCTGCCGTCGCCTTCTCCTTGTGCCCTCCATCTTTCCCAACATCAGGGTCTTTTCCAGGGAGTCTTCTCTTCTCATGAGGTGGCCAAAGTCTTGGAGCCTCAGCTTCACGATCTGTCCTTCCAGTGAGCACTCAGGGCTGATTCCTTCAGAATGGATAGGTTTGATCTTCTTGCAGTCCATGGGACTCTCAAGAGTCTCCTCCAGCACCAGAATTCAAAAGCATCAGTTCTTCGGCGATCAGCCTTCTTTATGGTCCAGCTCTCACTTCCATACATCACTACTGGGAAAACCATAGCTTGAACTATACGGACTTTTGTTGGCAAGGTGATGTCTCTGCTTTATAAGATGCTGTCTAGGTTTGTCATTCATTGCTTTTCTCCCAAGAAGCAGGCATCTTTTAATTTCGTGACTGCTGTCACTGAAAGGCAGTATATAAGTTTAATAAATAAAATAATAACAAGAAGAATAAGATGCTTTAACAAGGGAGTCACATGTTTCCCACCAGCGATCTGGCTGCCACATTCTGCACCTGGGGGAGCTTGCAAGACAGACCCAAAGGGCAGCCCCACATACAGTGCAATGCAGTAATCCAGCCTCAGGGCTACTAACACGTGAACTACAGTAGTCCGGCTATCCCTATCCAGGAATGGCCATAGCTGGTGAACCAGACAAAGCTGCCGAGACTTCGCCCTTGCATAAAGCTTTTGACTAATGCCGTTTAGTATTCACAAGTTTGCCCGACGTCTTATGATGATGCTTCTCTGCCTGAGGCTAAATCTTCAGTTGGGGTCAGAAAAAAACAAACCTCAGAGTCTCATTCAAACTCTGATTGCTTTGCCAATGCCATTAAATTGCTATTCTTATGCCATTCTTAATCCATATTATTTTCTAAGTACCACCCTGCTATATTACATTTTCCTTTAAATCGCTATGTCTTTCCTTTCTAGAGGAAGAGAATGCTATTCTCTGAATAAAGCACTGTTTAACGTCAATACACTTTATGATTCAATTCAGTTGCAGTCTGAAATCTGTGGCCATTTATATTGGTGGCTGGGTTTCAGCCTCAGTTCCACTTGGGGTGGGGTTTGCTAGAGTGCAAACTTCCAAGCCAGATCACAAAAATAACATCATTTATTGCTGTGTGGAGTTTGGTTAACTTCTCCTTTTGTGTTTAGGTGTTTAGCATTGTGCACTTTGCAGTTGAAGTTGCTTAATACAGTGGTACCTTGGTTCTCAAACTTAATCCATTCCGGAAGTCCGTTCCAAAACCAAAGCGTTCCACAACCAAGGCGCGTTTTCCCATAGAAAGTAATGCAAAATGGATTAATCCATTCCAGACTTTTAAAAACAACCCCTAAAGCAGTCATTTAACATGAATTTTACTATCTAACAAAACCACTGATCCATAAAATGAAAGCAATAAACAATGTACTGCAGTCACACAATCAATCAATCAATCAATCAATCAGTAGCTGAACTGGGTTCCACACAGTCACAAAAACAACAAAAAAGCTGCAAAAACAAAAACGCAAAATAAATAGCAAAAACAGACAGACCTCAGTGTAACACTCAAAAAGGAAGGGTAACACTCAAAACGGAGCATGTTCAGCTTCCGAAAAAAGTTTGCAAATCGGAATACTTACTTCCTGGTTTGCAGAGTTTGAGTACCAAGGCGTTTGAGAACCAAGGGACCACTGTAGTGTGGTGCATTGTTTCATTTGATGTGATGTTCGGGTCTGCAAAATGGGATCC